TTAGAAAGGAAGAAAGCTATAGATTAATTAAAAGAATTCTTTAAAAGGTAAGCTATAGATTAATTAAAAGAATTCTTTAAAAAGAAGAAGCTATAGATTAATTAGAAGAATTCTTTAAAAAGAGAGAGCTATAGATTAATTAAAAGAATTCTTTAAAAGGTAAGCCGTAGATTAGGTCGTTGTTATTATTAATTAACTATATTAATAATTAGTATAATAATTAGTATAGATTAATACGTAAACTATACTTGTTGTTATTATTATTGTTATTGTTATTATAAAGGTAGAGTAGTAGTAGAAGAGGTAAGGTAGTAAAAGTAAAAAATATTTAGTAAAATTAATTTACTTTTAAACTCTTTATTTAATATTTAGGCTAATTTAATAGACTCTTAGTTCTTTAGACTCTTTGTTCTATATTTAGACTATTAAATAGTATAGGTATAAAATAAAGATAAAAAAAGAAAGGAGAGAAGAAGGGTTTAAAAGTAAATTAGTAATAAGTTTAAATAATACTTTAAAATTTTTTATATAATGTTTTATAATACTCTTTTACGTAATTAGTAGAAATATTAGTATAATAATTAAAATAAACAATAGATAGACGTGTTTAACGCGTCTTACTATCCTTATTCTTATTATATTATATAGTACTATTATTATAGTACTATAAGTAAGGTAGTTAGTTATAAAGTAAATTAATTTTACTAAAAATTTACTAAGCCTTTATTTTTATAATATATAAATAGATAACTCTTTACTACTTACTTACCTTTCTTTTATTAAGCTAACCTTAATTTAGTATATAGGCCCTTTCCTTACTCCCTTACTCTTTATACCTCTTACTATACTAACTTTGTTAGTCTTCTTATCTACTATTTGTTAATCGTAATTATAAAATAGCGTAAAGCCTAAAGCTAAAAGCTACTACTTATATAACTAAGTTGTCTAACTATACTACTAAAAAGAGCTATAGTACACTACCTCTAATCTAGTAAAAGGCTCTCTAGATAGCCTAACTAACCTAACTAGCTTAACTAGCCGAACAGTCTAAACCTTTAGGCTAAAAGACAAAGATTTAAACTAGGTAGTAAGTTAATTAGTATAAAGATTAGTATAAAAACTCTACTAACAAATTTAATAGCTATAGTACTAAGAGAAATAAGAAAGTACTAAAAGACTACTAAACTATTAATACTATAAGTACCCTTTATAAGGCTAGTAAAAGAGATTATACTTTAGCTACGCCTTAAATTCCGAGTCTAGAGAAGCGTAATAAAAGCCTTATAAGAATCTATAAAGGCTATATTAACTACTAAGTTTTCTTATAAGTATTTAATCTATTATACTAATCTTTATACTAATTAAACAACATATAGTAACAAATCTTACTACTATCTATACTAAACAAGTTATAATTTAGTAAAAGGATATAAAGCTTATATAGTCTATATATAATAAAATTCTTAGGTATACTATACTAAGAGGTAAAAGGCTATAAGGCTAAATTAAAAATAGAGTAGTAATAAGATTATAAGTTATAAGGTACGATTCTATTATATATTTTCTATAAATTCTTAAATGTAATCTATTAAATAACGCCTTATAAAGTAATTAGTATAAAGATTAGTATAAACTATAATTATTATACTACTACGTAATATTATTAAGGCTTAAATTACGTATTAGGGTCTTAGTAACCTATAGGTTAGGTTATAGGTTAGGGCCTACTTACTAGTCTAAACCTACCTTATAGGTTAGATCCTTATAGGTTAGGTCCTACCTATAGAAACCTAACCTATAAGGACCTATTGCGCAGCCTATATGCACGTGTCAGGGATCTCCCGCTCTCTTGGCTGCTTGGTCCCTAAGGCTCTAAGCATCTTACAATCTCAGGTTAGGCTATGCCGCCATGGAAGCTGTCAAAAAAGCTTGTTCTGAAGCTTCTTTGAAATCCAGGCTTCCGATCCCTGCGTATGAAGAAAAAGATCTCTCTGCTTGTCCACGTGCCTGGCATCAGCCATTGACAGCCAATGCCCAGTAAGGGCTACCACCACAGCAATTTGCGATGGCATGTCACCGTGGTAAGTCAAGTGGTAAGTCGAGAGGTAAGTCGAGTGGTAAGTCGAGTGGTAAGCCGAGTGGTTATTTCATATTTTCCTACTCGAGTATAAGTACATACCTCGATTCTGCTTCCGCTGCAGTTGTCCTCGGGGAAGCTCCATTTCTTTGTTGGCAACTTGGCACATCAACATCTTCGGCGACAGATTCAAGACTTCCACAGTTGCATTTCAAGCCATGACTCGAACCATTATGCGCGGCGTGGTTGCAGCGGCTCTTCTTGCCTGCGGTGTCACGGCCGATGCACAGCAAGGCAGCAAGACCGATCCAAAAGGCGGCAAGGTCCTCACAGTCGGTGTCATTGGAGGTAAGTAGCTATATGGCCATTGCACATAGACCTCGTATATCACTTTGTATTTTCAGCTACTAGACTTGTTATGTATACTAACATTGCCAACTAGACTACGGCTGGACTGGGTGGACTCCATCTCCAGATCACTTCTGCCTCGAAGTCCTTCCCAAGCTCAAGGCCGCTAACATCACGATTCCCAATGAGGTCCAGAATGACTGCGACCCCGGCGACAAGCTGTACATTGGGAATGCAACTGCCCTGCAACGTGAGTATAGTCGCGACAATCTAGACGGAATCGACTGACCATGTAAAAGTCGACACTTCTGCCTATGTAGGCCAGGTCTGTGTCTTGAAAAACTGCAGCGCCTTTGTGACTGTCGGGGACAACTTCTACGACAGCGGTATCGACTTTACCACGGGTGGCATCTTGCGCTTCCAAGAGGCATGGGTGGATATGTATAAGGAAGGTATCTTCGAGGAAGCCCCATGGTACCAGTGCCTTGGAAATCATGATATTGTCAAGGGACAGAGCGGCGTCGATTTCCAGACAAAGATTGCTCCTCTCTACGACGATCGTTGGTACTTCGTAAGTTGAACTAAGTTCTACAAGTTCACACAAGGCCATGTTGAACAACGACTGAGTTTGCTATGCAGGGCACGGAACAACTCCCTTACTACACCTACGATCTGGAGGGTGAGGATTTCTCCGCCACATTTGTAGTCATTGATTCAGACTGCTTCGTCAACGACTACCAAAATGTTCGTCCTTGACACCAACCCCTGGACCAACTCACCAAACACTCAACTAATGCTCTCTCTCTCTTAGCCAAGCTCAGTGTACTTCAATGAATACACCAAGGCCTGCCACCAAGACACCCAAACTCAGCTCAACTTCCTCTCCACCGCCTTCGCCAACTCCAAGGCCGACTGGAAGTTCCTCCAACTGCACCATGGCTTCATGTCGTCGGCGCAAAACTACACCGAGCTACAGCCAATCATGGACATTGTGCGCGCCCACAGAGGCGTCGTCCTGAACGGCCACGACCACTGCCTCGCCCACTACCAGTACAACGACACGAACTTCATCCTGAGCGGCGCAGCCGGCTACCCACAAAGTGGTGACTGCAACAACGGTGTTGCGCTTGGCCCTTACGCGAAGTTCTTGGGTGCTAATGCTAATGCTGGTGAGTTGTTTTCCTTTCGATTTCCCTTTACTTTGAGCCACGGCCCCTCTCCCGATAGCCCAGGAGCTGATGATGACGTTAGCGGCAAACGGCTTCGTGACCATGGATCTGAGCAAGGACAGCATCAACGTGGAGTACTATATGCGTGATATGGAGTTTGATGGCAGCGACATGTATCCTGTCTCTAGTGATCTTAAGCCCAGCTATAAGTTCAATATTACGGAGAAAGCGAAATAGATGAGGACACAAGATAAGGAGTGAGATTGTTACAGAAAGGGGGATTAGGGTGCGGTAGTCTAAGTGTGGAGAGCTGTGATAATATCGTGTAATGAGTAGACAAAGAAGGCAACGTGGGCCAGGCACAGGTGCCTACAGGCTACAAGTTGGGCGGACATGTACCAGAGCCTGCGCAACAAGGAGAACATAGAAAACACAGGCATTACAGGAGGGCAAGGCGTACATAGATAGGATATATTTATTGCTGGGACACTTGCACGATATTACTGGTTTTTGATTCCTTCCCCTCTAAAGGCTCTCATTATTCGCGCATCAATTCCCCGGGAGCGGAACGGAGCATATAACAGGCGGCAACACCAACGGTCAAGAGTTTATATTTCGTTGTCCATTATACCTATATTTGAAGCGTACTGGGCAGCTCCTCGGCGAAAGCTGTATAGCCAGAATCCTGTATTCCTATTTTTTGAGAGCCATAAAGATGGTTAGTTATATACCCCCCCCCCCCCCAAAAAGGGCCAAATGATCCAAATCAAAAGAAAATCGATCCACCTCCTTTTCCCCCTCTCTTGTAGTAGGTAATCATAGGCGGTGAGCTAGTCTCTACCTTATTGTCGCCCTTACTACCTACCTCAGGTAGTGTGGTGGGGTTTCCCCCTAGGTACACATAGGTTTCCGGGTCATGTGACAGCTGTCTAGGGATAGGTCTTGCGTAGTTAAGGTGGTTTTGAACTTTTCATTGGCTGTTTGGATTTTTATTATAATGCTGCCTTCTGAAGTCCTGCTCTAACTAATATTTCACTAGGTTGCCAATAAATTCAAGCGTAATAACTTAACTATTGATTTCTCAAAAGAGAGTCTATGCTTCTGCTATTCGGATCTCTATGAGGGCAACGTCATGTTTACAGATACAGGCACTCTCTACATTATAGATTTCGAACATGCCGCGTTCCTCCCAACAAGCTTTATGACTTTGTCACTCTCTCTGGACAGACCTATTAATGAAGCTCTCCGGAATAAGCTTAGTCTCCCACAAGAGAATCTGAACGCAATGCAAGCAGCTAGATATTATTTCCAGATATCGGGGCACGGAGTTGGTAAGTGTTTCATAAAGTATCTATCTTCTAACATACTAACCGATGACCACTACAGGCTTGCCTCTAGATGACCCTTGGAGGGACATTAAGAGGAAACGTCGGTCACCAAATGCTCACCAGCCACCTAATCCGATGTCAGATAATACCGAGCATCTGCCTTCAGGTTGTAGAACTAATTCTACAGAGTCTGATGCTTAGTTTTGGCATGTTATGTTTTGAGATATCCACTGTAATAATTTAGACGAAACTGCCGATTTGTATCATGATTCATGCTGATTTTCTACTTAATAAACAGTAGTTTAATTCACGGTTTAATCCGCTTACTAAGATCTCCTTACACCCTAAATGATAGCTTGGAGCTCCCTTTACCCGGTAGCCTATAAGGCTATAAGACTGGCTACTGTGGCGGGGATCAATCATTCAATATGGCCAAAAGGAATATCAAGGCTTTTGGAAGAGGGGATGAAAGGAATCGAGTAAGGTGGAAATAGAAGAGACATTTTCTTAAGTGTCCTAATTCCTTGTACCTATATTCTGTGTCCTGTCACCTGTTCTCCTAAAACTGTATACACCAATCAAAGTAACATTCATTACCTTAAAGCTCATTACTCAAGCCATAAAACCTCTCTCCTTAACAAACAACATATTAACTACTCTTGTTGCCTGATAAGGTGTCTGAAGGAAAGTGATGATCCCTGAACAAGAGACCAGGAAGAGATCCTATATAGTCCAGAACTGCGTACGTGCGTACATTGAACACATGCTTCTGTAGCTCATCAACTGATGCGTACTCCATAGACGCAACACAATCTCTAAACAGTGGGTGCCTGATAAGTCCACCTCCAACCGGTCCAGGGGGGGTTCCAGCATGAACTTTGATAGAAAGAAATAGCTTTATAGCCTTGGCTATTTGGTCGAAGCATTCTTCTAGTTGATCGTCTGGCGTGCCCTTTTCCAACAACTCTTTAACAGTCTCCCCGTGAACATAATCCATAACGATGTGTACTTTATAGTCCCGCTTCACAACGCGGTAGATCTCGGGAACCCGGATACCCGCGCGGTCTTCCTGCGGCATCTGCTCGAGAATATCAAACACAAAAGCCTGGTTTCGTATCTCTTCCATTATTCCAAAACCCTCGTCATCGCATTTGATAAAGACGATCGGCGCTTCTTTAGGATACGCGAAGCCCTTGATACCGCGCCTGTCCTCATCGACGTCGGGGTATCGCTCGGAAGCTACGACGATTTCGTCATCTGTTGGCAGCTGTGGCGGCGCCTTGTGCCGCCGGCCGGCATTAATCACTGTCGACATGGCAATGAATTCTGGGGAATAGCCTGTAGCAGAAGCCTTTGATAAACAGTGGATAGAGTTGGCTGTCGGAAGAGTATGATGGCGATTGATTGATTGATTGATTAGACATAGTAGAAAGTTTGGCGCTTATCTTGTGCACACGGATCAAATGCACAACTTCAGTCCATGTCCCAGTATAAGGTAGATGGATGTAAAAGTACCAACCAATTAATCCCATTGCATTCTACCGAGAGACATTCGGCGCGTTGATTGGTTAGAAAAATCGCGGGCCGGCTCGGCTACTAGCGGCGGTATTTCAGCCACATTGTAGGTAGCCGAGCCTTCTTCAGCCACCCCCTTTCACCTGCGAGACGACGCGTCTAGACTTCTGCGCACATCATCCTTTTCGCGTCCTTCATCGCTTTTCCATCCATCTCTCTCTTCTCTCCCAGTCTTACCTTTCCCCTACATTTCTCAGTGCACCCGATTTCCAGTGATTGCCATGCCAATACCACGCCGCCTTTTGCGTGGGGAGATTACGTACTCCAGCGCAAAGTCCGATGAAACCAACATCCTCCATAAACTGACGTATTGGGACCAAAGAGCCAAGTTCTTCGATCATCTATATGAAAATCGGAGCTTGATTCAAGCAGTGGTTGCTCACCACCTTGGGTTAAGTGCAAAGGAGGCGTGTCAAGTTGCGGAACGGGACGAGTGGTTGAATGGGAGCTTCAATCTTTGTATTCCTATCACCATTGACGGCTGGAAATCTCATTCCAGTAAACGTGTTATATTCCGACTTCCCCTCCCGTATCGGGTTGGTGAACTCTTTCGGCCGGGCAATGCAGATGAGAAGCTTCGATGTGAGGCTGGAACCTACGCATGGCTTCAAGAACATTGCCCAACTGTGCCTATACCTCGCCTATATGGGTTTGGGCTATCAACCGGCCAGACTGTATGGATAATGCATTTTAAATGAGATGATTTGCTGACTTGATCTAGTTTACGGCTCTTGAAAACCTTCCTTTTGGCACTCGCTGTATACAATATCTCCGCCGCAGGATGTTAGCATGGCTCGGATATCCGGTCCCTTCTCACTATGTCCGGCACCATAGCCGATGCCAAAGTTTAGGTACCTTGGGTACTGGCTATCTAATAATTGATTATATTGAGGAGACGCAAGGCGTGATGCTCTCAGACACGTGGGACGAGAGGCGCAATGATGTAGCGCTACGGAAGAACCTGTTTCGAGATCTCTGCCGGGTACTACTCAACCTTGCCCGAGTGCCTTTACCCCGGATTGGCTCTTTCATTATTGATGACAATGGATTGTTGAGCCTGGCAAACAGGCCTCTCTCTCTAGAGATTCAAGACCTGGAAAATGAGCACATACCAGTGGATATTCCTCGAGACTTTACCTACTCTACTGTGGACTCCTATGTTGTCGATACGCTTGCTTTTCATGACAGTCGTCTACGTCATCAGCCAAATGCCATTAGCAATATGGAAGACTGCATATACCAGATGTCAGCCTTGACTATGATGAAGACAGTCTCCTCTTTGTTTTTGCAGCGCGACCTCCGCCGTGGGCCTTTTGTTTTTACCCTCACCGATCTACACCAGAGCAATATTTTTGTTGATAAGGATTGGAATATCAGATGTCTAATCGATCTTGAATGGGCGTGCTCACGTCCGATTGAGATGCTACATCCTCCTCGTTGGCTAACAAATCAAGCCGTGGATATGATCGATGTGGTCGAATATGACAAAATTCGGCACGAATTCATGGACATCCTGGAAGAAGTAGAGCAGGACTTTTGCGCTGGAGGTCACGAAATCACAAGACTGTCACCGCTTATGAAACAAGGGTGGGAAATGGGGACGTTCTGGTATTCCCTAGCTCTCCGCAGCCCAACAGGTCTCTTTAGAGTGTTCTACGATCACATCCAGCCAAGCCTAGCAAAGGGGCATGAAGATGACAGTTCATTCTACCAAATCGTGATGTATTATTGGACAAAGAACACGAGTACGTTTGTTTCGGAGAAGACGAAAGACAAGGAGGACTATGACTTGCGGCTCCGAGAAGCATTTAAAGCTTGAACCAATACAGAGGATGTCAAAACCGCGGACATAAGTCTGTTCCTCTCTCCTGAACCGACTTGGACTCTTGCTCATCGCTAGCCCTTTCTTCGGCTTCCCTATCTTTCAAATCCAGAACTGTCTCACCAAGGGCCTTCAGTTCTGTTTTCATCCTGGCTGCCATTGCTGCTTCTGCAGAAGAAGACCTTTGTTTCATGGCCTTGGGCTGCACCTTCACACCGACGCGACCGACCATTGCCTCTTCAACAGTTCCATCGTGTGACGAATCTGAGCGTCGATCACCCATTATATGTTGGTGACGTTTGTGTCTTGATCCTTCGCGGGTTCTCGGATTAGTATCGCGATGAAGCCCATGACTATGCCGAACGAGGTTGTATAAGGCGGCGCATGCCTGGAGTTGAAAAGCTGAGAGCCTACTGCGCCACCTACCTGAGCATAACTGATAGCAAACGCAATAGCGAATGCTGACCCTGTTGCTTCTTTGGTTGTCTGTACTCTGTACTCGCCAGGGCACTAGTACGCACTACATTGCTTAGGTATATACCTACACAACACTCGCCTATTATCCACCGAGACTTCAGACCTCTAAATACTCTCTATAGAGCGATACCCTATATCCCAGTGACTTTGGCATTGCAAAGGCCGTCAAGAAGTCACAGACTGTGCGATACTATATGGCACCTGAGCTATCCAGGAGGGTGCCATACCTTGATATTACTCTAATTGTTCCTCTCTGACGATATCTTTTTCAATACCATGTAAGTTCGGGTGCGTTGTGTGATAATTTCTCTCGACTGTCTTTCCTCGACTCTTGAACACTCCTCCTGTAATGCCACCCTTCTCGAACAGATGATCAACATCCTCGAGCTCAAGCTGGTTAGTTTCCGGGAAGAAGCAGTAAACAATGGGAACCCAGCAAGCGTTTAAGACAGCGAATATGATGAATGTACTAATTATGCGTCAGCTTTGGAGACAGTGGAGTATATATATTTGAAATCTACTTACCGCCAGGAGATGTTGCCGATTGCGATAGGTGTGATTTGAACCACAGTGAAGACACACATCCAATTGATGAAAGAGCCAAGGGCTTGGCCTCGAGAGCGAATTCGTGTGGTCGAGATCTCCGCAGGGTAGAACCAAGGAATTGGTAACCACCCAATACCGAGGAAAATCTGGAAGACAAACACCATGGCCGTAGCACCAATAGCTGCTGGTTTGGTTCCAACCGAAAGAAGGATAGAGCACAAAGAGAAACATAAGCAGAGGCCAGCGGCCGATACCATGAGAAGGAACCGCCGGCCATAGCGATCTACTGTCCAGAGCGGGATAAAGGAAGCAGCGAGGTAAGTGAGAGAGGTACAGCCACCTAGAATTAAGGAGGTATTTCGAGAGAGATGCATTGCATTCTGATAAATCACCTAATTCGATATCCAACGTCAGTATAACTTTTGTCAGAGAATAGACGTCAACCGTACCGGAGCATAATAATTAATCATGTTAGCTCCGGTGAATTGCTGCATGAGATTGACAGCGCAGCAAAGAATAATTCGCCGGAGATTCTGGAGCTTGCCTCCCTGGAGAAGCTCGGAATAACGGAAGGGTCCTCCCAAACTCTCAATCTCGATGGACGCCTCAATCTGCTGACACTGGAAGATGACATCTGGATGATCCACAGTAGCATCACCTCCCTGTAGCCTTGCAAGGACCTCGGCTGCCTCCAAGTTTTTATTGTTCTCCATCAGATATCGGGGTGTCTCCGGCAACGGTAAAATCTGAAGGACCAGCAAGGTAGCAAAAACGCCCTGGAATGCCATCGGAAAACGCCATTGAGAGGGACCGTTAACGAAACTATAGGGTTAAGTTTGGTACTGCATGACTTCTAGTTAAAAGGGGCGTACCTCATTCCATAGTCTAGCCAGTAAGCTATACAGACACCAACAATAGTGACAACTGCTTGCATGCTCAAAAGCATACCCCGATTAGTACCTCGCGCCATCTCCGACTGGTAGATTGGTACTGTGGAACCTACATCTTGTAAGCGTTCCCTGTCGAGAAGATATAACCTGGCAAATTGAGCTTACTGTTGAAGCCATTGCCAATACCAGTGACAATTCTACCCACTAGCAGTTGGGCGAGGGATTGCGAAGATGCCAGAATTATCGTACCTGAAGGTTTGAAGATTAGCACCGCATTTTGTGAAGGGCAGTATTAGTATGACTTATTACCTATGATCATGGTTGAACCTCCAGCAAAAATTACTCTTTTCCGACCAAATCGCTCCCCAAAAGCGACGCAGAGTAGAGACCCCAGAGCGCAACCAATCTGCATCCAAGTTAATATCATCGCATCGCAGCGACAGGGAAAGAGAAGTACTGACGTCGTAAAGGGAGACAATTGTGCCCTGGAGCGATGAATCCGGGCTATTGAAGTCATGTCCGAATTGATTATTTGCTCCAATTATCCCGGACATTACACCCTGGGCAAGTATTAGGGCAGTCTACAGTGTCGAGAATTCGAGGATGGGGCTTGCCTGGTCGTATCCAAGAAGGAGAAACGCTTGACAGCTGGCCGCTACATCAAAGATCAGTCACGAACCTTAGCATACTATTCTTCTTGGAGCAAACCAGTAATGGCCCAGTCGAGGCGCCTCCCCTTCATCAAGGGGCCTTCCCCAAACATTTTAGAGCGGCAAGAATTGCGATTCGTTCAATCCGATTCTTCTCAAGAGCTGTAGCATGAATCGGAGTACCAAAAGACGTCAAGGGGTGAGATCGTATATAGACATTTGTGCAGCTCAAAATCAGGGGCAATATATAACTTGTTGCATTGCGGGGTACAAGAGCTGGAGGGGAGCCTGCTTTCGCTGTCATTTAACCCGGTTGCCGAGTGTGGAGAAACCTTGCCAGCTATAACTGAGCTCCGCCCCGGTTCCGCCGCCCCGGTTCCGCCGCCCCGGTTCCGCTGCCCCTGAGTCCTGACTCGAGTAGGCTTAGCGCTCTGGTCTCTGGGTATGGCGGGGACCATTGCATTTCCGTGAGATGCTGAAACCCGGGGAAGAGAAGGAGAGTGTGTGAGAGGTGGGAATAGTATAAGTACCTTCTATAAGTACAGGCTCAGCTCGCGTATGTGTGTCCCCCGTCCCTCTTCCCTGCGACAATGCCTCCCCCCGTATGCTTTGCGCCCGGAGAAGCATTCCAACTCGATATCCTCTTCCAGTCCTTCCATGTAGCCGTTGCACAAGCCATCATACTTAGAGTAAGCCACAGAGAGAGAGGATGACCTGATCAGAACCCCTTTCCCCATTAACGTCGCCAACGTAGGCCAAAAACCCATTTCCCACTTTTGCTCCAACAACCGCCGCTTGCGACTCGTCGACAGGTTCAGGGGAGAAGACATGCGATTGCGTTGTGGCGTCAGAGATAGGAACGAAAATCTTTTCGTGCTGTCGAGCATTCTTAATATGGAGGACCTTCATGCTGTACGGAGCTGGCATTGTACCCTTAATGTCTCCGGCAGGAAGGGTGCAGGAGGGGTTGAATCTAAAGGTCGTCCGATGATAATCTCCACTTTTCCAAGGCAGACCGAGCCTGTCAAAGAAGTTGTCAAATGCGTCCATGTGGGCGAAGTTGGGGAAGTGTAAGCCGATTATCACCAGACCTCCATTTCGAAGGTAGGGCAGAATATGTCCAAGCACTTCTGCATGCTCTCTTTTCGTCAAGCCTTCGTCGGTCACAAGGATCGCTTTTGGGGTATTAGCTTCGAGATACCGGATCGCACCGCTGGCGGACTTGGCCCGTTTCACGCGTGCAGAGTTGGAGAGGCTGTCGAACAAGGACGAGTACACCTGATCGAGGAAGCTCTGGAACTCGAGACTGAGGAGGAAGATCTCGGGAAGTTCGACGGAAGCCATTGGGAGGAAAGCTTTGGGTTGTTTGCGAGAATGGGGCAGGATGATTGGTGGTGTATCGTGGGGAGGGAGAAAGGGAAGGGAAGCAGAAAACCGGGACACAGCCACAGACGCCCCGGTTCTCCAGCCACTTCGTAGAGGCACCAGCCACTGGTTCATGCCTTACTTTCGAGGCCTTTACTGCAAATATTGTTTGAGGCGCCCCTCTCCGTCGTTTCTGGATACTAAGGTCTAGGCATTTCGAAGCCCTGGAAGCTATCTCCAGAAAGTATAATGTATCATGTCTCTCTAAGGTAAGATGTCAGGCAGAAAAGGGCCGGAGACTCATATCATCTATGTACGTACCGACGGTGCCGTGGTCCTATATCCCTGCCAAGCCAGCAGTCACATTCATAATTCATTACTTATCTTTTTTCTTAATCAGGAGCATTGACCAGCTGCCAAAACGCTCTTTATCGGGCTTGTCAAGGGTCCACCGAGATAAATACCTATCTACCTACCTAGTATGTACCTTAAGCCATCGCGACGGGGAAACACCCCTTCCATCGTCGTTCGGCTACTTATCTCGGCTAAACCCCTGATTCGGATCCCAATCGGGTAATTATCCGGGAAGGGTCTTGGCCGCAATCTTCCCATGCCCATGATATCTGCGGGATCCGGAGAAACCTTGTTCCACGTTATCCTCCCCGCCTTGAAACAGAAACCGAAACTCTGGAAACTTCATCTGTCTCTGTAGAGCCCACTTTCGCATCCAGTCTGAGCAGAAATTCAAGATGGAATTAATAGATATGGGCCTTGGCCTCGAGGGCACCCACGTCCTGGTCACAGGTGCTGCTGGTTTTATTGGTACGATTCACACTTCCCTTCTTCCGGGTCATCTCCAACAAAGCATGATCCGTCGAGGAAGCATTTTCATTTGCATACAAACCTGCAATCAGCATCCCAGTTTAAGAAGTTCACTAGATTATAACTATTTCAACTAACAATCTCCAGGCAGCGCCTGCGTCACGGCCTTTCTCTCCGCCGGCGCCTATGTGACCGCCGTGGACATCAATTCTACCAAGCTGGAAAGCCTTGGCCAACACGCCCATCTTTTCAAGGTGGTCGCTGACATTACATCTGAAGAAGAACTTGAAGCAGCATTTGAGTCCGCACGTGCGAAGTTCGGTGTTGTGGCCTGCTGCATCGCCCTGGCTTCGTTGGACTTGAGCGTTCTGAAGCACCCAGACAGCGTTCTAGACCTGGAAGTTTCCCAGTTCAAACGCACCTTGGAAGTCAACGTCGTGGGTACTTTCCTGACGGCACGTACATGGCTACGTGATTTAACTCAGCATGGGAATCCGAACATCACGCGGAATGCATCGGTGATTATTGTCGGCTCTGAGTCTGGTCACTTCGGCGAGGCCTCGAACCCAGATTACTCGTCTGGAAAATCCGCGGTACAGTATGGTCTGGTGCAGAGTCTGAAAGCAAGTGTGCCGAAACTCTTCCCAGGTGCGAGAGTCAATGCGATTGCGCCTGGTCCGGTCGACACGCCTCAATTCAGGAAGGAGTGTGCGCAGAATCCGCTTCAATTATACCTAGATTCGCAAGCTACGAGCGCCTCTGGGAAACCAGTCTCGCCAGAATCTGTGGCGAAAGGGATTGTGTTTTTGGCTAGTGAGGCTTGGAGCGGGAGTGTAATGGGTCAGATACTCAATGTCGACGGTGGGAAGTTCGGGAAGCTGATGTGGGAAAGAGGGCAATTGTGATTGCGAGCTGGTCATATGTAGTTGCAACTTTGAGTCAGTTTCTGTCGTTGCCACTGCTTGCAAACCTTCCACTCTTTGGATATCCTTGGCAAGCATTGGACGCCATAGGTATGCTCCCAGGAGTCCCTGATGGGGCATTGGGGGATACTTGTGAAGGCCGGTTTAGGTAGCAATGATCGCACCGCGAAATACATGTCGGGCCCAGAATATTGTTTGAGCGTGTAGTTTCATCATTATCTTGTTTCTAGAACCAACGAGTCCTTGTTTTTTGGAGGGGGCCAATACCCTAAATATCCTCCGCAGAGGTACAAGAGATACTCCTTACTCCTCCCCACCAGCTATCCAGTGCTCAGCTTCCGTACAAAGAAGCAAATCATACCAAAAGTCCCAATCATAATAAAAGTCAACGCACAGAAAATATAATTATTCTTGTACTATCCCTCTAACGGAGTCATATGCCCCTTGCATCACGTGTTCTGCGCTACCATTGTCGGCATCATACACATGACACCCTCGAACTGCCGCATTAGGTGGGGTATAGACTTCGAACAGTTTAGTATCTCTTATATGAACAGTCGGCAACAACTTACGATGTAAAGAAACAGCATAATTCGATTGGCTTGGGTTGGCAATGGAATGTAGGCCCAACTGATCAGACATGTAGGTAACCTTCCCCGTGCCGTACTCCGCTTTAGCTGTCTGTTTTAACTTTCCTTCGGTCCCGGGAAACTTGGGGATGGCAAATCTCCTCTCGACCAATTCCCCCTGCAGGATCTTCATCAGACAATGCGAGTCAGCGTGGTCATGTACTGCGCTCCGCTTGCCCGGAGTCCAAACGAGGATGAGGAGGTTGAAGATCCCGGGAACCTCGAGGACAAGGTTGCGTGTGTACTGTTTTGAGGGGTTGGCATGGGCGTATGCGGACCAGTGGAGAGGATTAGAAACGTAGGAACGGAGGATGGATGTGAGTTGGGGGAGATTAGCGGTAGGAGTTTGAGTTAATGATCTAGTGATGGAATATAGAAGATGTGTGAATGGCGAGTCGCTGATTTGGCGGTGAGAGGGAGAGTGATTTGACAGCGAGGCCCTGTTTCGAAAATCTGGCTTGACTGTTAATCACGATCTATTGGGAATCTGGAAGATTGAGACGTGCCATCTGGAATGAAAGGGGACGGATCTTGTTGTTTGAGCTCGATTCCGTCATATTTCGAATTTCTGGCTATCCCAGCGATACAGCCTGTTGCAACGCCCAAGGTTCGTGGACTTGAAGCGATAGGGGTTGATCGCGAAAATCGCGCGAGGCTCGGCTTGAATGGATTCATGATGAAAATCTCAGACGACAGAGTATCAGGGAGCAAGAAAACAGTTGCGAGAGCCTTGTAGAGAGGAACGATTTTTGCAAATTGATGATTGTGAAGAGAAGAGGGGATGAAAAGGGTTGAGTCTGGGCGACACGTTAACTAACTCGCTTTCCAGGGATCCGGCCTCGGGAACATCCTTGGTTTGGTAGGTGGCATGATAGGAGACATGACTTGTTTTCCGGGGCATTATTAACAGCAACTGCGCCACCAGACCTGTCTGGGTACTCCTCTCCTCCCCCTCCCTGTCTCGAAACGGTAGAATGATCTCAAAATTCCGCAGTCGTTTGTGACATCTCATACGGCTTCACCCTCACCGAGCTTCAAGCAATCGACTTTCGTGTTGAGGACCCCCAAAGATTCTTCGAATATGGTTGTGACGACGTAGGTATCCGCACAAGTCGCACTGACCTTCCCCAGTGTGTTTTCCGAGCGAAAGCTAACCCTCCTATGATTCATTCCCCCTCTTGCACTCGCCTTCCATCGGTCAATGTCCTCAGGACATCCGGAATCGAAATCCAATCAGAAGGGTTGAGCGGGGTCATCAGGTCCACGGTGGCGGGATGATCCTTATCGGCTTCCCGTACTCGCTTTGGCGGTGTGCCACACACACGTACTTTGCAATCAGACACAGATGAGAGTCTCCCCTGACAAAAGAGAATGTAGGTGGGGAGGGAAAGAGTAAAGGGGCAAAAGAGATGAGATGAAGGATGAACCCATCCATATGCCTTGTGATGATACCTCAAAGAGAAACCAGATGACACGGTGAAATGTCGTCATTATTGACCACCAACAAAACTGATGTAGACTCAACTCAAGAGACCCCAAGAGGTCCTTGTAACACGAAAGAGCAACCAAGATAACAGCTCAGGGGAGCCTCCAATGAGAATTCGGCTGAGGACCATCTGAACCTCCCAGAGCAACTCGACTCTCGTGAAATCATCACTCGTCTCTGCGTCCTGGAACCCATCTGCATGTTGGCCACTGTGGTACACCGGACTCGAAACACAAGAGCAAACCCGCTCGAGTCCGTTTCATTGGTCGTGTGCACTTGCGCAAAAGTCTGCCGTAGACTCCCTTGCCGTCTGGTTCTCTCTCTTGAGTTGGAAAGCAAAGAAAAGTCGGGTAGAAACCGTCAAACTTTGAGGAAAATCGTAGATACTTCTACATTGATATCAGGAGGCAAAAGGAGTAAAATAGACGAAAAAGAGGAAAGAAAAGGGGTGGAGAGAAGGCCTCATAAAGTATTCGTCGTCCAGTGACTTGAGCCTAGCCTTAGCGAGGACAAGGGCGATGGCGTGCGAATTGCAATTTTCACGTGACTTCAAGAGCGGTCATTCAAGACATGCACGTGATGCTACCATTTATTGGTGCCTAAGGTAAGTCAGGCATTCTTTGTCGGATATCTCCGGGCACGTCTCGCTTATGGCTTGCCTCCGTCACCATTTTGGGAAGGCGGTGTGAAGCGGCAGGCGCTTATGCCTTACCTTATCTCCTTGTCGCGCCAAGCCGGCGACCTCCACCACGCGTATCGTGAAGTTTTTCGTCTATCAACGGCCACTATCAACACCAGATGCCTGTTCTATCTCGGGCTGACAGGATACAGACTACCTGACTCATCATTCAAGTGAACTTCTGGGGCTGACAGGGGAGTTTATCCGGTGGACAATGACAAGAGTGGGATGCAACTGTAATTCCAGCTTATCAAGCAGCATCTTCTCCATCTATCTCTCTTGCGGCGTAAGGATGTTATGAACAATTAAAATTATCACTGTCTTTGCACCGCAATCGTGACGGAGTACGTCCCGAAAGAAACGGTTTTTCTCCCCATACGATATGCATACGAGAAGCTCATTGGCTTTTCTTTTCGTAACCTCTTCTTGGGACCGCGTGTATTAGCCGTTGGTGTGATGTCTCGTTAATTAAACACGCGTCTGGGTGCAAGGAAGCTCTCCCCATGCTATCGTACCTGGGCTAAACCAGAAGAATGAATGGGATTTATATAAATAAATATGACAGCTTTGCCATCTTCAGTGTCGTTCTGGTTTGTTTCCATCCTGCGTTCCCTGCCTGCGATCACTGCCTGCGTCTCCTCAATCCCTCAGCATGGCTTCGAAGTTCGTGCGCCGCGTTGGCGCAATTGTTCTTGCTTTGACCCTTGCAGTTGAGGGATCGATCTCCAGTGCTGGAGAAACCGTGGTTGTGAATGGGATCAGTTACTTTGCTGATCCAAACTCGGTTTCGATCATTGCTGCAACCCCGGAGATGTTGCGCTCGGCGTCGCCCAAGGATGGAGACTTGATCCCGTTGACGGTCATTGATGATTCATCCAACTCTTTTACCACCTCTGTTTTCAGATCAATTGTTGCCAATTATAGTGCTGCCGACGATGTCTTCAACCCTGGATTCCTACAAGGTAAGCTTTGCTTGCCAACCTGAACTTGGTAACTAATATCTTCCAAGCCATCTACCTCAAGCATGTTGGATCCGGCCCGGCAACTGTCAAATATCCTCTTGGGGCTGCCCTCACTGAATATGGGACCAAGCTATTCATGCCATCTCGTGACTATACTAAATCTGTCCAGAGCCAAGGACAGAGCATCACGGGCTGGAGAACGGAAATCCCTGCTGGGCCATACTTCCTGTCTGTGACCACTGGTGAGGTCTTCAAAGCCTACCGTCTTTACTCCGACGTCCAAGGGGCCTTTACTGAAGGACTGAGAGCAAACCCGAATGGAACTTATTCTGTCCTCAGCGCCGCCGTCCCGGGAGCACAGAGTCCAACAATTGGTGTTCCATCTCGACTCTACTACACCAAGACGGATTCTCAGCCGCTGGCCGGGGTCCGCGTTGGGGTGAAAGACATTTTCGACATTGCCGGCGTGAAAAGCAGTCTCGGAAACCGAGCGTACTACGATTTCTACCCGCCTCGGAACAGCACTGCCACCGCCGTCCAGCGATTGATTGACGCGGGAGCGGTGATCGTCGGGAAGATGAAGACTTCGCAGTTTGCAAACGGAGAGACGGCTACTGGTGACTGGGTCGATTACCACAGCCCTTTCAATGCTCGCGGCGACGGGTATCAGGATCCCTCATCCTCGTCCGCAGGACCTGGCGCGGGCATCGGCTCGTATGACTGGCTAGACCTCGGACTCGGATCGGATACCGGTGGCTCGATCCGCAACCCATCTCAAGTCAATGGTTGTTTCGGCAATCGACCGTCCCACGGTCTCGTGCCCCTGGATGGTGTGATGCCTCTTTCGCCCGCCCTCGACACCGCCGGTTTCCTGACTCGAGATCCCGTCCTCTGGCACACAGCCGCAAAGGTGCTCTACGAAACGAATATCACGAGTAACTTCACTGGCTTTCCTAAGAAAATCATCACCAGCGGCTTCCCCACGACAGCAACAACCGAGGCAGAGACGATCCTTCTAGGCTTCCTCTCGAAACTCGAGTCCTTCCTAAATGCCACGACTACCGCGCTAGACTACAACACTCTCTGGGCGAACACCACCCCAGTCGCGGCCGGCGGCGCCTCCATTAACGAATATCTCAACATCGTGTACCCCGTGCTCATCTCACAGCAGCAGTACAACCTCTTCACGCTCCCCTTCTACGCTGACTACGCCGCCGCGAACCAAGGCCGCCGGCCATTCATTGATCCCAGCCCGCTGATCCGCTGGACATGGGGACAGGTCAACGTTAGCAGTGACGCAACAGAGCAAGCGATTGCTAGCAAGAACGTGTTTATGGACTGGTGGGCCGAGCAAGTCGTGCGGCCCGACGCGGAGAGCTGCAGCGAGAGCCTGATGCTGTATCCGGGGACGCTTGCGACCCCGACGTACAGGAATGTGTATCGAAGGTGAGCCGGCCCCGCTCTGTCGCGAAACGCTTTCACCAAGACAGAAACTAACTCGCGAATAGTGCACCAGGAATCCCGTCCGGGTTCGGTATTTCGCGCGTGGCGAACTTTGCTGAGGTGCCGGATATGGTATTCCCTAGTATGTGTTCCCCCTTAATCATCCTCGTCTCCTTTCTCCCCTCCCATTCCACACTCTACCCCCCCCCCAACACAAAAAATAGAAATCGAAAATGCTAACGCACAAACCCCAGTCGGTCAAGCAGCCTACAACTCAACCATCACGCTCAAAGAAGAATACCTCCCCGTAGCCGTCGACATCGTGGCCGCGAAAGGGTGTGATGGGATGGTATTCGCGCTCGCCGAGCAGCTGCTGTCAGCAGGCATCATCGCGATTCCTAAGACGGGAAGTACGTTGTATTGAGTTGTAGATATCTATAGGTAGTTATGAATGAATTTATGGTGATGATGATAATGTTGAGAAAGAATGCGGGGTTGCTTGTATATTTGTATATTTGTATGCATGTATATATATGTGTATATGTAAAGGGCTTTGATGGATAATGTTTGTGTTATGTGTTGTGCGAGATGGGGTATGATGGGTGCATGATGGATGGGATCGGTTGAGAATAGGGGGTAAGTAGGTGGCAGAGGTACCAGACATCAGCTACTACTTGCCTTGAGTATACACGTAACCTCACTCATCATCCTCCACCCCCGAAAATAGGCAGTTACTAGCACAAAAGAGCTGAAGACATGACCGGGGCAGTAGAGGGAAGAAACAGCGGAGTATTGCTTTTCGAATACTGTTTGTGACATTAACAACCTCGGCATTGCTAAGATTCTTCATTATTCATCTACCTATTTACACATTGCTGGATGATATAAGAAATGTTTCCCCCCCTATCCCCATATCAGTGCATTTCCATCCCAACGAGTCATCATATGTACAATAATCCCAAGGCAGTGTGTGTGGCCTTTTATTAACTCCAGGTTTTTTTACCAAATTTTTTTCCACCTGTCCTGCTTTGTTCTGCAATCATGATTTCTCATGATGTTTGTTCTTCATATTAGGATCCGAGTCTTTTTAGACGGTCTTGCCACCGCAATCAGGGATCACTACCCCGGGCTTCAGGTTCCGGTTAACATCCAACAATCCCCACTTGTCCTCCCAATCTTTGCCTGGCGTATCGTAGATGATCTTCCACGGCTCGTCAAAGGCCTCGAACCAGAAATAGGTCGTGCCGTTTGCTAACGCCTGGCATACCCATTGATCCATAAAGGTGTTCATCTGCGGGATCCCGGCCACTGATCCATTTACGCACGTTGAGGCGCCACCGCAATCCATGCCACCTGCAGAAGGCCATCCCGTTTCAGCGATGATGTTCTTCGAGAGATCGGTTTGGAGGATCGTATCGTGGTTGGTCCAGAAATCGTAGGTCCAAGAGGCGGCGACATCGGCATTGACGCCGGCGAAGAAGGGGTGGATGTTGGCCATGAGGTAGTCAGCCTCACTTGCCAATTCCGCGGTCCAGTCATCACCGAGATCTGAGGTAGCAACAGGAAGATTGATTCCTTTGGCTGTAAAGTTTTGCCTAACGCCTGAAAGTATCGCGCCTAATTCTGCGGATGTCATATCTTGTCGGTAGAGAACTTCATTACCAACAATAACCCCAACGAAAGACGAATCACCGTATTTGTCTAAGATGTTGTACATTTGCTGCAGCTGGCGGTCATTTGTCGTAGAATTGTTGTCTAGCCATACCCCAAGCCACACCTTGATGGTACCGTTCAGTTTCAATTGGTCGATTGAATGGAGCAGCATTTCAGTTTGATTGCAATCAGTCCCATAAAGTCGAACGGTGTTCGTGAGCTGAGATAGAATAGCAAGATCGAGGGTGACGTTGTTCTGGGACGGTGGAACGGTGAGACAACCGGGATATTGGGTGTTCATAGGCGTGTAATCAATGCCAGGGAAAACTTTGTGCAGATTCTTGTTGTTCATGAGCGCCCGAACCTCGGGAGAATCGGCGTTGAAGTCTCCACTGGATGATGTGCTGCCCCCGTTGGATTGTCCAGATCCTGATCCCGACGACGACGATGATGATGATGATGATGAGCTCTTTGATGAGGATGAATGCCTAGACCCAACTACTCCTCCGACAACACCCCCGACAATGGCGCCTATGATCACGAAGGCCGCCACACCGGCCACAATCCATGCCATCTTCCTGTTCCTGCGAAATTCGTTACTCAACCACGCGCTCTTCTCTTGTACAGGCGCAATATCATGCTCGCTTGGCCCCTCATATGCCGTATTCTGAACGGGATCGTATGATTGATTCCCGTTCGCACCCCGTCCTACTATACCACCCAAAGACCCAATTATTCCTCCAGCAGCGGCAGCTCGGGCAGCAGCCGGTGGTGCGTTGTTAGCGCTCTGGGCCATACTTAATCTCGACCCTCTATTGCTATTCACATATTCCAATCCATCATCTCCATCGTCCTCGATGCTATTTGGGTCAAGTCCAGCGGCCAATCCGGGCTCGAGGCTTCGTGAGTATCGATTGTAAGGGTTGTCGGAAGGATTCTCGACGTATGCCTCATCGTTGATGCTGGGATGTGACAGTGGCTGTGACAGCGTCAATTGGGAGTGTGAGGCAGCCATGCCGGGTGAAGATGCAGCGGCACCTAGAGGCTGCAAGGAAGTTTGAGAGGTTACTGCTTGGGGTCTTGCGTATGGCGGGTCGGGTTGTCCTAGTGGTTGGCCACCAAGGGGTGACTCTGGATATGAAGATACACGCATCAGTTCTGGATCATAGCCTGGTGTGTTCCTCATAGCCTCCAGCCCGCTCTCTCTCGGTTGTGTATCTGCGACGCCCATTGCAATACCGGCAATGCCCCCCGCAGCTCGCTCTCCAAAATTATCAGCCCCCGGGGTAATGTTGGAGTATACGGACTCTCTATAGTTCAGCGGTTGACCCCAAATCCGTCTGTCACGGTCTCCAGAAGTGGAGACAGGGTCTGCTGGTTCCCCGTAATTCTGCAGTGGCTGTGAGGCTTGTTCGTCTCTGCTATATCTTCGTGCAGCTCGCAATCGTTCGAAGTGACTGTCGGGATGTGCAGTTGGACTCAACGGGCTGCCAGGAGAAGAGGGATAGGGTTCTCGGTAGGATGGTGACGGTACTTGAGTAGATATCCGGTGTGGCTGGGGGAGAGGAGGGGTTGGTGGACGGTGGTAGAACCCTTCGCCCTCGGTTTCTTCAAAGAAGCTTTGGCGAGACATTTTGACAAGACAAGCAAAGAGAGGATCGTCCGGGGACAGATCCGTAGATTTACTCGCAAATTCTCCTCCAGTCCACGTCCGCCTTCGTATTCGCTTTCACGAGCAGCCTGGTGCTTGGTAAGATCCGTGATGCGATTCGTATCGCCCTCCGCCCTTCCCGCAGAGAATACGAGGGGTGCTGGTATACGGGTCCGCACGAGAATGTCTGTATTTCCGTAAGTCAACGTTCAAGACACTATCGAGACTATGGAGTGGAAAAGGCTTCCAGACCATCCGAAGAAAACACAATTGCCCCATAACGGGTCCAACTGACAACACGCGCGACTCCATTATTGGTGCAAGAGCGTCGGTGGCTGGCGATGCTGTTACAGGCGTGGTTGGCCGATGAACGCGGAGCCTCGGAGCGTGGAAAAATCGATTGAAATTCGATTTAAATAGAAACGCGGGCGGGGGGAACGTCGCGCTATTATGTTTGTTAGCCGGGGTCACCCTTTGGCCCTCGGTCGAATAATAAGCCTTTCTTCAGTAATATACGGGATAGAGGACGTCTGCAGAAGAATTGGGGATATATATACCTAGGTACTTGCGGCCGCTCTGGAAACAAATATTTTCCGAATTTCCCCAGACTTAAGGGGTATGGCGAAGGCTACAACCGCTTTGGCGGCGCAGTTGGTAGCAACGAAGATCATGACATAATATGATTTGCCCCTCCTTCACCCCGCAGGCATCATCAACTGCATCTATCACTCATCAAAAGGATCAGTAATCATTGGCAAAGTTCTGACTCTTCTCAACCTTGACCTCGGAAGGCGAAGTGGTGTTAATATTCTATATCTATCAACCTCAAAATCAAAATCAAAAGCATAAACAAAATCAAAATTCAAATCACAATACCTCGTTGATATTCGGGTGAGACAGCACCAGGAACAACAATGGCCAAGGGATTCAGGGAACTGCTTGGCGTCGCGCCATCCGCAGCCTCCACCAAAGACAGTGTCTTGATTATCATCGACGCCCAGAACGAGTATGTTATGCACAAGCACGATGATGATGATGATGAACAACCCCTCAAGTAAACTGACATTGGAAAGATATGCCACCGGTCACTTGAAGACAGAGAATGTAGACTCTACCCGCAAAGCCATCCACACTCTCCTCGAGAAATACCGCGCAGCCGGCGCTCCTATCGTCCACGTCCTGCACGATACACCCGCCGGTGCACCAGTCTTCACGCCCGGAACTGACCTCGCCAAGGAGTTCTCCGAGCTCACACCCAAAGATGGCGAAAAGGTTATCCATAAGCTACAGCCTGGCTCCTTTACAGGAACGGGCTTGGATGCCTACTTAAAGACAACGAGCAAGCTTAAGCTGGTATTGACCGGATACATGGCCCATGTATGTGTCAGTACCACTGCTAGGCAGGCTGCTGAGAGGGGCTATGATGTGGTTATCGCCGAGGATGCTGTTGGCGATAGGGATATTCCGGGGGCGAAGGCAGCGGATGTGGTCAAAATGTCTCTCGCAGAGTTGGCAGATGCTTTTGGGAGTGTTGTCAAGGCCAGCACCATAAACTAAATAGTCCCTGAACTGGTGTATAGTAGGGCTAAACGATTCTTTGCATTGTCGTTCAAGCTTCGTCACAGCGACTTTTTGAACAACTGTAAATGCCCCCAAGGCCCCCGGTTCCCTCGAACTGTGGATGTTATTCAAACTCGAGGAGAATGGCGCAACTCTGATATTCAGGCGAGGGTTTCGACATGAACCGCTTTATCAAGGCTTGGCAGCCTCCGATACCTTCCTCCAATATATCTTGGTATCCGAGAAATCATGTCGAACCTGCGGAAAGTCGATCTCGTCACAATCCTGGACCATCTCTTCCAAACTTTTCGCAACTATATCCGTCGTCTCTGACCTACTACTGTATTAGCATTTAGACGCCCGAGAGCCATGCCTTCACGTACAGATTAAATTTCCCAAAATTAGCAACATCCGTTCCGATGAGAATTGCAGGCCTTGGTGCATCGCTGACAGTCTTGTACACATCCGCGTAGCAATGTATAGCATACACTAAGCTACTCTCCGTTATCTTGCCAAACGCTTCTGGGTCTTCCACCACGGTGTATCCGAGAGAAGTAAGGAATTCCCGATCGAGATCTGTGAATTGAGGATCTTGAAAAATACACCCAGGGTTGCCTCCTAACATTCCCGTTAGTTCATGAATATCATATGGACAAGATAGGTATGCATACCTAATGTGGCGACGGCCGTACGCAAAGCTGCCAGTTGCGTATAGCTAGCCCTCCTGCCCTCTCTCCTGGCATTCTGCAGACTCCCCAGCCCAAGGACTACCACATTGTCCGCCTTCCTGCGCCCCTCCACCTCCACCAACTTGTCCTTCAAAGCTTCACAAGCTTCCATTGTCTCCCACTGCTTCGTGTAGTATTCGAAATCCTTGCGCGTCTCCTCCAGAGTCTGGTTGATGTAGCTGACCCCATTCTTCTCAAAATCACCGGCGTGCAACCGTCCCTCCTTTTTCGTCAGAGCCGAGCGACGCGGGGTATCAACGACATGTGTCCATCCGTCTCCATCCTCTATCTGCTGTCTCTTCGTATGGACGATTCTTGGTTTAGAATTTGCATTCTGGGGATTCTTCTTGCGATTTGTGTGCGGCATCGTGGTGGGGGAGGAAGTTCTCCTCTTGTGGGTTATGAGATGACTTCAGAAAATGGCACCCAGGGAATTGAACAAATCGAGTGGTCCTGTAGCGCAAGTCCCTTGGGAGAAATCAGATAAAATCGATCGATACCGTCTTGCTATTTTGTCTTGGTCGTAGGAATGCCCCGCAGTCAATCGAGTTTTTAAAATTTCCGGATTTCAGGGTATGGGTTTTAGTTGGCAGAACGGACAGCCACCGCCTCCGCTTTGGGACGGGGTGATTACTGGTGTCTCTCGGGCCGCCCCGTCTCCCTCGAAGCGCTCTGATTGAGTTGAAAGCCATAAACCAAGAGACAACTCTGGTATCATGAATCCATGATCGATACAGCCCGTGTCTCAGAGACTGATTCTGACTGATGGGCAGCACTGCGATGCGTCGTGGATGGTATTGATAATTTGAGGGTCGCATAACAACCACCGAATGGAGATCAATCAGGCGAGCCTCCCCGCACCTTGTCGATAACATGAAGATATACGGTGCAATCATCGAGTACCGTACAGTATAGTACAGTACCTCTCTCCTTCACTGCATCGCCTTCTTGTCATCGACTCACTCCGTCCATGGCTCTCTCTCTCGATGGCTGGGTAGCAGCTCTCGCATCTGCATGGCGATGCGAGGGCAGAGTCCCGAGCGGCTACAACGCTGGCTGGAGTCGCTCTCTCCTTGCGTCGCACCCCGGACGGCGCATGCGGGAGCTCTCCTCCGCACGCCCAATTGGCTGCGCCGTGATGCTTGTCTGCAAATCACGGCTCTGCTCAGATCACCTCTAACTGCTTGCAGCTTGGGACACCCTTCGGCGGCCAGAGGCAATTCAGTATCACGCATTGCCGCAACGTGAGTGGTTCATCGCCATCTCGCAACCGCCCAGATGCATCGCCATCCCACAAATGAGAGCTTCGGCTTCGGCCTGGAGCAGGACAATTGGCGGTTGGATGAACGGCAACAGCAGAGTACCGTCACCGGCAGGTGGACAATCCATAGGACAAAAAGGTCCCGACAGCCAGGAGACCAAGATGGCGACCTGCTCTCTGTATTCAACGCATTCCAGTATTTCTCCAGAAAAGTCCCTCTCCCTTTCATATACGACTCGAGCCGGTGTGGTCTGGTACTTTTCACACGAGTCTCTCAAGTGAGCACTACCGACTCTATTTGAGTGTCCCAGCACCATGGTTTCCAGGTTCTCGTTTCTTATCGCCGCGATATGGATGCTGGTGGGAGGAAACGCACATACCGTCATCACGTACCCAGGATGGAGAGGAGATAACCTGATCACGAACGAGACCTTCCCCTATGGCATGCAATGGATGTATCCTTGTAAGCATATCTCCCTTTCATTACTCGAACCGGGCCTTCAGAGGGCGGACTGAGCCAGAGTGGGAAGAAGGAAGAGGCTCGGGGCCGGAAGAGTTGAGGAGGCAGCTCTGTCTTCTCTGAAGCTATCACAGTTCTACGGCACTCTGTCTACTTTCTCCCTGAATTTTGACCTCTCGGCAATCTCAAGTCTTCAACAATCGCTAACTCGACCCTCCCAGGCGGCGGCATGCCCACAACCACCAACCGAACCAAATGGCCCATAACTGGAGGAGCTATCGCTGTACAGCCCGGCTGGTTCCAAGGGCATGCCACAGCCTTTTTCTACATGAACCTCGGGTTTGGGACCAACGGGCCCGACGGCGGACCACCAAACATGTCGAACCCTATGGTGCCAGTATTCCAAATTGTCGGGCCCTCGAGGAACCCATACCCCGGAACGTTCTGTTTGCCGCAAGTGCCGCTGCCGGCGAACACGACGGTGAATGTTGGGGATAATGCCACCATACAAGTGGTAGAAACGGCTGTCCATGGCGCTGCGCTGTTTTCCGTAAGTACACTTCCCCCCGCCCGCTCCCCTCGGTCCATTAAAAGAAAAGGGAGATAGAATAAACTAACATATTCCCCTTCAGTGCGTCGACATCACCTTCGCGCTCCCCGAAGACGTAGCCGAGGTCAACTCCTCGAACTGCTTCAACAGTTCCACCATCTCCTTCAACAGTGTCTTCTCCGTGGCCCAGACCGCGACCTCATCCGCCACTCGCACACTGGCTTCCGTATCAACACTATCGCTCTCAGCGCTCCTCATGTGGGCTCTGCTATAGATAGTCAGTCATTGTTAAGATGGCGAGAGTGATTTAGTTACCTATGAAGGAGGAGATGAGATAAGATACCACTTTTGCTGCTGGGTGCGCGGGCGTATATAGGCGTTCTGGAGTGCAGCGGAAAGCGGGAATAGCGGGTATATATACACTTTACAACAATACTTCATTATAATTCCTGATTGTCTGTCTACCTTAGGTAGGTAGCATTCATTCAAAACTGTCCCATTGCCCGACACGGGAACGAGGAAGGGGACAAGGTACGAATAATAGATGTCTGGGACGAGATACGAATGATACGAGACTATTTCGTAGTTTCACATGGCATTCTTTTAATCACGTTCAAAACCAGAAATCGATTCAGATTCTATGATCTCTTATCTGGGGTGCACTCTTTTCTTCTCTTACGCTTGCTAAGGCCGTACTTTTTTGTTTTGAAAGAGCCCACAAAAGGAGGCTCTATGGAGAAAAAAGAAAAATGCAAATGCTGTTTCCGCAGCTTATCGCTCATTCATCGTCAGTCCGTCATGAAACGACCCCCGTTCTCCTATTTCAGCAGCGTCCGGATTTCCGCCGCGACGTTGCGGATCCGGGGATCGGTCGCCTTGCCTACAGCTGTAGAGATGCTCTTCTCGATGCCGTAGACATCCTTCGCTGCGCTTCTCACCTCGTCGCCAAGCGTGAGGAGAGTCCCGATGGCTACCAAGGCGCGGTAGACGACTTCGGAATCCGTCTGCGTGTTGAGGATCTTGCCCAGGGTGTCGACTAAGGCGAGCACGTGCTCGAAATTGGTGGTGTGGGTCTCGGCGACGAAATAGACGGCGTAGTTGATGTACACTGTAGCTGCGGCCACGAGGAGGTTGCGGTTCGTGCTGCTGCTGATCGTGGTGGATATGATTTCTTGTATCTTGTCGAATTCCGAGACTGCGAGAGCCCGTCCCTCCAGAGACTCGAACAGATTTGCAAAGGAACGGACTGCCATCATTACATGATTCTCTGCAGGCGGTTGAGCCTCCATAGCGCCAGCTGCTAAGACGTCGATAATGTTGCCTCCTCGATGGTTAAAAGATGCAGTCATAGGTGCAACGGCAAGCAGACGTAGAAGATCCAAGCCTGGGAGTCGATCCTTGTAAGGCCAGACAGTCGCCAGCTTGATAGCCAGCTCAAGCCCACCTGAGACCGACTGCGATGTCTTTGTAGCGCCTGCAGATTCCAAGTGCTTGCACAAGCTTTCCAGTATCGTGAGCTCCGTTGGGTTGAGTGACAGTTCCTTCTGGCCGTTGGCGATTAGTGCTTGATTTAGCTCTTGTATCTTCTTTTGGATAGGGGGTATCCTTGCAACCAGAATGGACAGATATTCTTTCTGTGGAAGGATCTTGGGTGGTGATACAGATGCTGCGGGCGAGGTTTCTCCAGGCCGGTATCTGCTGTCGCTTCCCCAGGGATCAGAAGGTCCTTGTGATTGTTGGGATTCACCAATAGTAGCTCCTTGGGTGTTAGTCGTGATGAAATTTGCAACCTGGTCGAGGTAGCTGATAGGAAGCTTATTGTCCTCGATAAACTTTGTTGCAGCCTCGTATGGATTTTGTGAGAGGTTGTAAGCCAGCTTCAGGGGGGGTTTTCCATCTTCGATATCCACGTCAAATACGTAGTCGTATTCCTTCCCCATGTGGGGTACCTATGCCAATGTTACAATCACATATGGTGTTGATTGAATGGATGCCTTACCTTTCTTCCGCTGCTTCCAACGGCATCAACGACCGTCCCAACGTTGACCCATTGACCTGCTCCTGATTGGGGATTAGCCTACAATCGTTTATCATTAACCAAGATACTTACCAGCAGACCAAGTATGTGCCGTGACAGACCCATCTTGCTCCCGAATCATCTGTACCTGGCCCTCTTTTGTGCCTCGCTTCTGAACCAGGAACTCTGGTCCCGGTAACTTTTCCTTGTTCACCTCACCAACCTGCTGTTGGGGAATCGAGGATGCCTTCACCGATTCCTCGAATTGGCTTATAGTCTCCGCATCTGCCACTCGTTCCGGGCTCCTCGTAAATATGCGGACAATTCTATCGCTTGCCCCGGAAACGATATCACCTGTCTCCGGACACACAGCTACTCCCCAAACAGAAATAGCGGGGTGTGTAATTGTTTGTATGCAATCGTTCCCCCTCCATACTCGTAATGTTCGATCCTCGCCGGAGCTCACGAGCTCGCCAGAAGGTGTAGCCGCCAGAGAATATATGAAGGAGTCATGGCCACGAAGCTCTCCCACCTGTGTCCCAGTAGCTGTCCATAACCGAATAATCCCACTATTGCATGCTGATGCAAAATCAGCGGCACTTGGATGGCCTTTCGGTATCCTGCACAGAGCGCGGACGGGCGCATCGCTGCCTTGAAATTTCCGAATCAGCTTTCCAGATGTATGGAATACCCGGATCAGTTGGTCTGCACATGCTGTAACAACTGTTTCCGAATCCAAGGCAAGAACAGCCCATACGCTGCCTTCATGACCCTTGAGAACTGTTTGGCTCTCCCATTTCCCAACTGGCCAGATTCTTGCCTCACCATCCCATGCACCACTAACAATGAATCTCCCGGCGGGGTCAACATCCAAAGCGCAAACATTCCGACTATGGCCAAGAAGGAGGGCCTCTGCATTGTCTCCTGGTGCCTTCGACGGCTCTCGCACTTCAATCACGGTATCTTGTCCACCTGATATAACGAGGCCTTCAGAAAACTGTTGACTCGGAGAGAGGTATGTAACAGTATTGACAAATCCAGTAGCATTTGAGGCGATCTTGGCGTCGTAGACAGGTGGGTTGTCAGAGAGGAGGCTCCATAACCGCACTGTACCGTCTCGGGAAGAGGAGATGACAGCTTTCGAGGTGGGGAAGCATACTGCACGAACCTATATTACCAGTAAGTCAGTACAAATATGCTCATAGAAGGTGGATAGTTCATGCGCCAGGTGGGGGAGGGCAGAAAGGACCAAGGTTAGGATGAGCTCACATCGTCCTCATGACCGGAGAGCGAGGCGGAGAGTTTGTAGTCTGTCATCTTGGATAGATTATATCGCGGCGGACTGGTGATCAAGGAGATGAACAGAACATGAAGGAATCCAGGCTGGTGTGGCGGGATTGAAGAGTTCGAAGAATGAAGTGCTCTCCTTGCTACTATAAGCTTCCACAGTAATGCTGTACGTACTGTCCGTACCTACCTATGTAATCACCACCGATGCGGCTGCTTTATCAGATCGTGCCTTATCGCGGAGAAAGGATCCACCGCTCCGGTTCGTTTCATCCACACTGAAGGCTGAATCGGGTTTAGGCCCGTATCCTTTTCGGGGCTACCAGATGCGAATGTGATGAATTCCACGGGCAGAGACTCACCATCTTGCATTCACCACAGAGCTTCACGGCTGCTTGTGGATACGGATAGGAAAACAGCTCTAGTAACGACTTTACGACCGTCTGACGAATCTTCTTACCGACTTCCCCTCCTTCGTACGTACATATCTCTGGAGTTTTTGAAATACCTTTCTCTGGACGACGGCATCCAACGGGACGCGAACCTTTGTGTCTACCTACCCGCCTCTCCTTCGGTCCCAAGAATCTTCGACATTCCCTCGCTGAGTCGCACAGAAGTCATTCCTTTAGAAGACAATATCTACCAAGTCTCGACTTACTTTCCTCATCTACCTCTCGCGCCACTTATCAGTCATGGCGGGGCCTGAAATCTCGAAACAATATGTTCCCTTGACGTGCCACGGACATTCCCGACCGGTCACGCACCTTAGTTTCTCTGGATTTGTTGCGGAGGAAGAGTACTATCTGATCTCAGCATGCAAAGGTACATTTAACCATGGTTTGCGACGAAATCCCACTAATGCGGCAATCAGATAACAATCCCATGCTCCGCGATGGTGTAACCGGCGACTGGTATGCTCTGAACAAGGGCGACTGTGGATAATGCTTATATGTGCAGGATTGGAACTTTCTTTAAACACAAGGGTGCCGTCTACCAAGCGAGACTTTCGCCGGATGCTGCTACAGCAGCGACTGCTTCTGCAGACTTCACCGCGTATGCCCCTCTGCCTCTCGTCTATCACTAGTACTAATTATCTTCAGGAGGGTATGGGATACCCATAGCGGCGAGGAGATCTGTGCTATCCAACACCATCATATCGTCCGAGCGATTGCCTTCCCTCCTAAGTCGAGTAACCTTCTTGCGACTGGAGGAATGGAAAAGAAACTCCGAATCTTCGACCTTGACAAGATAGCACCAATCTCTAACCCTTCCCCGAACGGCGCAGTCCCTTCGACGAACGGTACTTCCGATGGCAATGTTATACTTGCAGAGACGGGGTTTGAAATTGGGCCTGGTGTCCACAAGGGAACGATTAAGGCTATTGTCTGGACTCAAGATCCGAATATCCTCGTTACAGCCGCAGATGACAAGGTCATTCGATGGTGGAACCTGGATGCACGAACGGTCGTGAAGGAACAAGTTGTTCAGGGAGAGATTGGCTCCTGCGAATTCACCAACGTGAAGCCCGAGCCGAACGACATTGGTGGCGGACTACCAGTCTTGACGATTGCTGCTGGAAATACAGTGTACTTCTTTGGCGGACCCAGTGCTAGCACACTGCTGAAGTCAGTGGTACTACCTTATGACGTTGCGAGTGTTGCTTTGCACCCTTCACAGCGGAAATTCATCACCGGTGGAATGAAAGATACGTGGGCGAAGGTATATGACTACGATACTGAGCAGGATATTGGTATGTCACCGATCTTTGTTGGACGGGGTCTCTTGCTAACGGTACTAGATGTCCACAAGGGCCACCATGGCCCGATCTGGAGCATCAGCTTCTCCCCTGACGGAAAGCTCTATGCAACTGGGAGCGAAGACGGAACAATCAAAATGTGGAAGAACTGCCAGGGTCCATTCGGACTGTGGCGCGCGGATAGGGAATAATTCTATGGAAAATACCATTCAACTGGAGTTATGGAGTCGGGGGGTGGATGAAAATCTGCGATATCAGGGTCATGCTGATCTCACGCAAGATTTTCGTTACAAGTGTGGTGAATCAATTAGAGAGCTAGATTCATTTCACAAAAATGCAAGACCGTCTTCTGCTTCGGCCATTGCTGTACAAAGTTTCCGGGGGTGTTTCTCACAACGAATTATTGGATCTTTATGATATTCCATTTGAATCCGAACCACCCCGTGATAGAGCGTAGCTTATAAATTATAATAGACACCGCAGTCTGATTCTCTACCGGAGGAGCAAGGAATAATGGGTGAGTATTGGTGTAGAAACCGGGGGAGGCTTCGGACCCACGCATGCGGTTAAAAAAGAAGGTGGGAGAAGGAGAAGGGGGGGGTGGTGATTGCGGGGTGAAAATCGAAAATAACTGCACAGTCGAATATCATATTAAGAAAACATCGTTCTAGGAACTGTTGCTCTTTCCAGCTTACCGCGCACGGTATGGCCCCTCAATAAGATTCCTGCCCCATGCTCGAATGTCGATGATGAGAATAACTCTGTGGCACTTGTGATCAGGTCCTCTACCTCTGTCAATTTGCTTGCATCCAGGGTTCTCCTCCGAATTGCCGCGCTACAGCCTCCCCTCTTTTCCCTCATAAGACTGCGGAGAACCCTACCGCCAAACAGAATAGGATAAGGTAGCTTGCAGGTGCAGCTCTGGGGAAGAGAACGATGTGTTCGCCTGGGTCTCCCTGGTGCTTTTCCTGCCACGGCAATTTAGCCTGTTCTTTCTTCCCCCCGCCGTGCTCTCGTGGCTTCTGTTCTGATGTTTCTTTGGTTACCTTATCATCCGCATCCTATATCGAAAGACGATTCTCGCAAGGCTGTGAACTACAGAGTGGGCTTGATCTCAGACTTGGAGTACAGGGGCACGACATATTCGAGATTCAAGACGATTCCTTCCATTTACTCCACGCACAAGTGATAGGTGTTGGTTACGAACGATATAGGATTTCCAATAGGATCGATTAATGCGGGTTATCGCCATCGGTATCGCCGTCTGCTATACGCTCTGTGCTTGGCTTCGCAGGATGCTAGGAAGGCCCGGTGGCTAACCCCGCCTCAAGCGCGTCCAGAATGTTACGAGGTATTCGTGTCACATATAGTACAGAGGGATGTATGCTTTAAGATCTCCGCATAATTCGACGGCTGGGCAGGGGCGATGTGTTTGCAGGCAATTGGGGTTTAGTCGACCAGACAACCCAATGGTAGCGGCATTTATACATGTGATATTGCTTTTGTGAGTTTCAAGGAACCTACCTGACTCTGGTTTTCGCATCTGCGAACTGATACTCGATGCCGTCCGTGTACTGCCGTCAAGCAATGTGGGTAGGTTTAACGAGGGGGAATCCTCATCCTACCGCTTCCTCTAAGGTTAGAACTTAGTGGAGAGCCAAAGGATCGTGTCGGTTCAACTTGTGTTCTCGAGTAAGGAACGCAGGGATGTGAATTTCGAATGATGAAGATTGAATGGCAGGAGACTCCACATCTCGTTCACATGCCGCCTGGAAGTTCTTCGAAAAGTTTGACATCAATATGTCCACGCCATGCTTCCAGACTGGGGGGTTCCCTTCCCTTGACGATTTGCCGACCGTACACCGTGTACATGGCGGACATTAGGGAATAAGCCCGCCCTGGCGTGACCCGATTCCCGAAGCTGGCTGACTGATCGAAGAGCTTACGGCCCCAGCAATTGACATCCGCCGTCGCCATGGTAATAATAATAGAAGAAGAAATCCGAATGACATAGGAATGTGGAGGTGAAGCGCGTTATAAACATCGTCATCCTGGTGCTGATCAGCGCCATGCTTTATCTGGTGTATCAATAGCAGTTATCAGCGGCCCCACAGAGTGGGACAACAACGGGGCTCGCGAGCCATTTCTTGGATCGAGATATATTTTGGTCTTGATCTATGCGGAGTAACGATACTCCATTATTGAGGACCCAGATAATAACAATTCTATCATCGTGCGAACCGCTACACGAACCGCTACAGGATGAGGATACGATCGTTGCAGGATTTGAGCTATTGAGCGGAGTTCAAAACGGAGGCCATTGAAGTCTTGGGGCCCGAGAGCCGAAAGCATCGCCTTCCAACTTCCAAGGCTGCGAGGTTTGAAGTTGGAATTCATGCCGCTCAACTTCGTTCCTTTAGCCCTCCCGATCCACAAGTTCACAACTGACAAGAAGAGTCCGTGACTCCGTGTACAGTGTACAGCACACAGACTTTCTTCTGAGTCAGCGGCCACGATCGTGGGCTGGTACAGTAGCTCCTCGCTCAAGAATGACATCTCTGCATACAGTATCTTCTACCGCAGTCACGCAGCAACTCCATACGAGGCGGTTGTGGTTGGTTAACCAAGCGGGTTGATCTCACACGTACAACATAGTACGCTCAAAGCCCCCGAACCTTGGCAGGCCGCTCCCTGCTCGAAACTCGAAAAAGTGCGGAGAAGCTCAGAAGGATGGGAGATGAGCCTAAACACAGAACGATACGTATACATCTCAGACGGCTGCACGATATGTTATATGGCCAGTTGCGCAGAAATTCTACAAAGCAATACTGTACTGTAGTAAGGTCATGCCATTTCGTACGCAAGAAGCCTGAAGTCCTTGCGAGGTCGTGGTAGAGTACAACGTACGGGAACCGTCCAAGGGGATCGACGATGTGACGGAGCATGAAGTTGGAAACCCCCTGAACCCCTGCTTTGATTCCCAGCGCTCCTGGCCCGGAACAGCCACTAACCATGCGGCCCTGGCCAATCTACTTCCCCCGGATATGCGACCGTCTCAGCAGCTGCAGTGTGGTGGCTAGTGGTGGTACGCCGGCGCAACACGAAGCCCCACACTGACAACCTTCCAAGGCGCTGTGCAAGACAATCTGTAACCTGGATAGGGAGGGAGATAGCATCAGGCAGGTAAACAGGCGTGCAAGATCGTTGTGATAGGTTGCTGGAATCCCCGTTGCCCTGGAGTAATCAGTGATTACTGCTGTAAGGACTGGGGACTAGAACTTATATGGTGCATTCCAGCCTTTCAGGGAATTATCAGGAATATCCAGATCATCACTTGCGTGACATTTTCCCTATTTGCTGTTAGTCTGCAGTCCCTCCCCCTCGCCCTTGCTCATCGTTCACCCTATCTGCGTAGGTGCAGGTTTGTAGCATGTGCGGCCAGCAGAAGCGGAGTAGTCGTAGTACGATCTCGTTCAACCTCCTTACATATATATAGTCGCATTGTCCACCCGCCTCCTCCTCGTTGAAGTTCCCCCTGAAGTTTCTCGTGGAGTCAAGTGTTATTTGAGCGGTTCCCTCCGAGAGTCGATTGTCGTTCGCTTTCAATTGACCTCCTTTCTCGTCCTGCATTGTTCATTCGCTATCAACATGCAGACCACATTCGCTCTCGCTGCTCTAGCAGCCCTGGCCTATGCCGCCCCTCAAGCAGTGACCTCGAATATCACGCCGACCGCTCCTGCTCCCTCTGGGTGTGCTACTAGCTACGCAGGCACCTTCCAGATCACCGCTGTCAACAGCACTGTGATGAAGCGAGATCTGTCCAAGGTAGGCCAAGTATCAAAGACTCTATTGACTGGAAACTGACATCAATCAAGCGTGCCTGCGGAGACCCAGGAAGTCTTGTTATCACTCTTGGAAATGGCCAATTGCACGATGCACAAGGACGTACTGGCTACATTGCTTCCAACTACCAGTTCCAATTCGATGGCCCCCCTCAAGCAGGTGCCATCTATACGGGAGGCTATTCAGTCTGCAGCAATGGATCTCTCGCTCTTGGAGGCTCAGCCATCTTCTACGAATGCTTGAGCGGTAGCTTCTACAACTTGTATGACAGACATTGGGCAGATCAATGCGAACCAATCCTCATCGATATCCTACCTTGCGGTTCTGCTGCTGCCGACCCAGTGGGTCAGTCGTCAGATGGTCAGCCAACCGGTACGGGTATCGCCACTGTCTCTCAGATCTCAGACGGTCAGCCCCAAGCTCCCTCAGCCATGCCAGTGACCGAGATCACGGACGGTCAGCCACAGGCACCCACAGCAACTGCTCCACCTATCACTGAGATTTCAGATGGTCAGCCACAAGCTCCCACGGCTACTGCTTCAGCGATCTCCGAGATCTCAGACGGCCAGCCTCAAGCTCCCACGGCTACTGCTCCAGCGATCTCTGAGATCTCAGACGGCCAGCCTCAAGCTCCTACAGCTACCGCCCCAGCAATCTCTGAGATCTCAGATGGACAACCACAAGCTCCTACAGCTACCGCTCCAGCAATTTCTGAGATTTCAGATGGTCAACCACAAGCACCTACAGCGACAGCAACTGCTCCAGCCATTTCCGAAATCTCTGATGGTCAACCTCAAGCACCTACAGCAACTGTGACTGCAACGCCCATCTCCCAGATCTCAGATGGTCAGCCACAAGCCCCAACGGCAGCCATCCACGCTGGCAATGCCACAATGTCCGCAGCCACCGCCAGCAGTGCCAGTTCCCCAACAGCCGTCGCCGCCAATGCCGGAAACGTCATTGTAGGTGGTTCATCATTCGGAGCCATTATCGCGGCATTCGTCGCTGCTGCTCTCTTGTAAAATTGAGAGCCTCCGTCTGATGGAGCAGGTTTTGCGTGAGTCGGGTTCAATTCTGGTAATAATGGCCCGCAGGAGCAATTTGTATTTTGCATTGGAGTGCGGCGAGAATGGAATAACACTTTTGAGCATGAATAATTTTGGAACTTATGAAGGATGGACTTAATTTTGGGTTGGATTGGAATGGATTCACGTATAGGAGCCCCGACCTCCTGGATATCCTAATGATCGGAGCATAAAATGTTGATAAAAATCTATCTTCTGTACATACTACTTACTGAAAAGATACCAATATCATCAATTCTATTCTACAATTCCGCGGTTTGAATGCGAAGATCCAAAACCCCTCCATCAACTGCCTCCCCATCTATCTGTTTATTGATCGAATAAAGGAAGAGACCGAAAATCCTCCCGGGAACCGACCGGGCAACTCAAATTCCCTCTCTCCCCACGAGTCACGAACGCGCCCTCGGAGAATTGAATTTTACCTGCCAGGGGGATCAGCACTGCCAATCTACATACAGTCTGTGCCTGCATCTCGCGAGTCGAACTATGCATCCCAGGAGGAGGACCATGCGAGCTCGGCCTATGTTTCGAATTGGGAGGGAGGCTGGTAAATTTGTAATTTGCTTTTTTTGTTCTTTTGTGTGTATGGTACGTCGTATGAGAGGAGGAGGTGGAATGTTACATTCGGTCAGATAAGGTAAGGTACTAGGTATACCCCGTATTGCTGGGGTAGATAGATAGATAGATAGATAGATAGGCTGCTTGGCGGTGCCGATAGGCGGTTTGTGGCGCTTGTGTCATGATGCCCTTTCCCCTTTTTTTTTAATATTTATATTTAAGAGGACTACTGATTGTATAGGGAGGAATATGGAAATAGGGGAGTATATCTAGATCTTAAGAGTAAGGTACATCGATATCAAAGGGTGGATTTATTTATTTTGGGTACCTGGTTATGTTAAGCTTCAAGATTATGCATGAAAGGTCCTTCCTGGGCGCTTTTTGGCGGTAGGTATGTTTCTTTTACTTCGTTCGTCAGATATGAGGTAGATTTAATACTATATCGTAGAAGGAAGTTCGAGTTTTACCTTTCATGCTTGCTTTGTAGAGGTGGTTGATATTAAATCCTACCTAAATTTGTTACTTTTCCCTCAATAGTCAATACTGTATATACAGCATGGGTAGTCCCGAACTATGGTGATTTCAAGTGTAGGGTTCTATTTCATGCTATGTACAGTATAGGATGTGTCTTTGCATTCAGTAGGTTTCGAGTACATATAGCAGTTCTACAGATTGTTATCTCTCTGGGGTAACATCTGTAGTTTGGGGAGGAGCTTATGCTATGTCGAATCGGGCCCAGTCATTTACAGATGAACTGTGTAACTGAGGAAATATCCCTAGCAGAAAGAATCGCTTGGAGGCTCTGCCATAACAAAACTTATCTGCAATAAATTAAAAGGGTTCTCACCTACCTTAGGGCAGCGAGCTGAGATGTTAGTCAAAATCTGGGATAGAACTTTTCTTGTATTTTCTACAGCTATTAAAAGTTATGGAAAAAGATCTATTTTCATGAACTTGAATTATCCCTTACACCCTACATTGGCTCCTCGCCCATTTAGTTGTATGGGTATGGGTTAGGCAGCTCAGCGGGCGTGTCATCTCTGTAGCTGTCGGTAATCAGATGTTCGAAAGTTGAGGAGTAGGAAACTCTGGGGGTCAGGGTGTCCAAGCCCCACAGCTCTTGCAAGAAAGCAAGGATGGAGGTGTGGGAGTACTCGCCACCGTTGTTTGATCCCTTGTGTTCGACGACTCCCTTGCCAACCCAGGGGGAGATAAGGAGGGTTGGGACACGGACACCCAGACGCTTGAAGTCGAAGGTGATGTTCTTTCCGTCGTGGGCCACCTCGGTGTAGGTGAGATCGTCACCGGCGGGCACGTTGACCGGGGGAGGAACGTGGTCACCGAAACCTCCGTGCTCGTCGAAAGTCAGGATGAAGAGGGTCTCATTCCATTGAGGGGAGTTGCGGACGGCTTCGTAGATGCCCTTGATGAAGTTCTCTCCAAGAGTGATGGGAGAAGGAGGGTGGAAAGACTGGTACTCGCAGCATTCCGGGTTGATGTAGGTGAACTTTGGGAGGGTGCCAGCCTTGGCATCGGCATAAAACTGGTCTAGGGGAGCAATGTTGGTCTTGTAGGCACCAGAATTGTAGGTCCACTCGTAGAAGGCGGCATCGGGGTTGAATCCAAGTCCTGGGCCAGTGGTGGAGTTCTGGTAGTTCATCCACGTGATGTTGGCTTCAGACAGCTGCTGGAAGATGCTTCGTTGCGGGAGACCGTAGACATTGAAGGCATTGTCGTTCTTTCCGTGACCATGAGAAGTTCCAGAAGTGAGGTATGCACGGTTGGGGTTAGTAGGACCTGGGACAGAGGCAAACCAGCGGTCGAAGAGGACGAAGTTTTCAGCCATGGCACCAAAGACACGGATTTGATCCGGGGTGTAGTAGTTGACGACCTCCGCAGCACGCGTCTTGTTGAAGGTATTGTATGTAACGGATTGCTCGGTGACGAAGCCGCGCATGTTCTGGCGCTCAGATCCAGCATCGACTAAGGCTTCATCGGGATGCCATGTGCTGAAGACTCGGGGTATGTTAGCAAACGCATTGAGAGGATCGGAGCTCGAGACGAACGTTGCATGTTGACACCGCTGATGCTGTGGTTTGGGTCATCGGCTGCAACATCATTGGCGCGGGGCCCGGCGCAGACATCGTCATGTTGGGACGGGTCTGAAGCGTTCCTGGTTGGCTGTTAATCTCACGCAGTTGGAATTCAGGTGAAGCAAGCTGACATAGAATTGCAGTAGTTGTGGTGCAATAACCCATTGATGGTGGGGTTGTATGAGAGACCGCCTGCGAAGGTATCGAAGGACCTGTTCTCCTCGACGAGGACCACGACATTCTTGATTTTGCTCTTCCAGTCGCTACCGGAGGCGCCGTGAATTTGGATTGGAGGCACTGCTAGCACAAGGCTAGAGAGAGCGACGACAGTTGCGATCTGAGTAGCAATCATCTTGACCGGATCGAAGCCTTTGCACAGCTGGTGGTGGCTGGAGACAGGTTTCACTTGAGGCCATCACCAGCCCCCATTATATATATGTATATTTGATGCCATCACCCAGCTACCCCACTACATGATTGTCTTTTGAAGAGCGACGGGCGGCCCGGAGCACGTGTACAGCGTGATAGGCCAAGATCTTCATCCCACGTACAGTAATCCATGATGTGCGAGAATCCAAGGTTCAAGCAGCGGGATCGAGGGACGGGTTATCTCGACGGCGCTCTGGACTTCCTAGGCCATTCGGAGGGTCCATCTTGCTTCACCTTCCCCATGCTTGAAAGGGTGCATGGTGTGCGGAGCTCGCACATGCACTCACCATCGGCCGTTCACTGGTGGCTGCGGGCGGTGGAGCAGGGGGGGTCATGGTAGATGGGAGGTGTTTAAGATGGGGAATCTGAGAGTTACCGCCAAGTAACGGTAGGGAATCAAGGGAATTCGCAGTCTGGCGGAGATGCGCAGAACGTTGGTGGAAGAGTCGATAGTCGATCGGATGGAGACTGTCGTCGATCTGAATGCCCTCGATGGCGGCGGCTGAAGTTCGGCATCTCGGTCCGCTCTTCTCCGCTTCTCTCCACCAGCCACTGATGCCCACCAGCCCGCGCACGTGTTTCGCTGCTCGGCTATCTAGGGGGGCATCCTCGTTCTTCTTGCTGCCGACTGCCCCATACACGATGCAATTGACAGCTCCATCAGCGTGGGACTACTTGACCACCGCTTCCAAGGTGAAGCTTGAAGGCCTTCGCCTTGTCCCTGTTTCGACCAAAGAGCCAATTGTCGTCTTCCTATTTCTAACGCTTTCCCAACATCTCTCGGGGAAATCACACCTCCGGGCAGTCCTCCTTCTCTGTCAGCATCAGGGAACAGTCATGCAATTGTTGACCGGCCGATTTCTCTTTCTGAAGTTTCATATTGGGAAATTGTGGGCAATATGTGCAGTACTACAGATATCTTCCTTGATCCGCAAGTTTGAATCGCCCAAGCCAGTTCCGGGCCTTTGTCCGAGAGAACTCATGACCGACAGTCAGCACAGTCAGCAGCTGTCTACTGTCAACTCAAGTAGTACTCTGCAAGAAACACGAGATGCGTTTTCAAAGGCAATGGCAAATACGAACTGGCATGGCGCTCCATGCGAGAACGTACAGGACTACTGTTCTCACAAGAACCTATCCTCGCACAATTTGCTGCTAAAACCGCAAGAACCATTTATAGGTAGATATTCTTTTGCTCCATATTGCAATTCCAAGCAGATCTGGTGTCTCCTATGCTGTATCCTTGTTCCCATCAGACTCGGGTTTCCAGCTGTTCGGTAAACACTTTGACAACCCTAGAGAGTTGTGGTGCACTGACATGAAGTGCTCTGATGACAGGACTACTTCTTCGTCTATTCGGTACTTTTTCCCATACTTATTGTTAGTGAGGTGGGGTGAAAGTGGGGTGTACTGAAAATATAGCATAGCTCCCATACCCTGTCGCTGTCAAGCCAAGCTACTTACTGTCTTTCACATAGCCATGTTCGACGGGGACTTGGCTCGCCGCTGATGATGCAGGTGTCAGCCAAGATATCTAATCTCCTCAGCGGTGTCTGAGAACATCGTCCAATCCAGTGACTCCCACGTTTTACCTCGTTCTTCTTTTGGTTTAGTCAGGTCAAAGGTCATTCGAGCGCATAAACCCCGGCTGAAGTCTACTCCCTGGGTGGGTCTGATATGAGGCTTCTAGAAACTGTTCATCTTGGGTTATTGTCGTCTACGATTTGGTGCACTCGAACAGCTTGTCCAGTGATGAGCAAGATGTTACTTTTCCATATTACCACCAATTTCACTTTCTGATAGTAAAGGGTTTAGTAATTGGCGTCTATGTCCCACCTACGACAATGAAGCCAACGGATGTACTGCAGTTCAAGTATCTTGGCAAGAATTATGGCATGCTGAGAAGTCTCGCGAGCCACAAATATGGATAAGCAATCTTCTCCCAACACGGCCGACCTTTTCGATATGAGGTAGAATCCGTTATGGAGGGAGGTAAGCTCTGAAACTGGGCCATAGCCCAGTGTGACTTAATACAAGTGTAATATTGTCATCATTATATGTGCCTCGACCAATTTTGAATTTAATCCTACAGCGAATTTCACTCAAGTACCCCTACCACTCTCTTCCCACAGTTTCTTCCTCTCCTCCGGCGTCATACGCTGCGTATTCCGCAATCTCATCGCCTGGAGCTTAATCCACTCCTTACTATTCATGCCCTCTTCTTCCTGCCCCTCCTGCAGCGGCGGGATAACATCACTGCCCTCCAACCTCTTCAACACGACCTCGTCCTCGGGCCTCGCAAAATACACCAAGCTATACCTCGTCTCACTGGCCTGCTCTCCCGGCGGCGACACGACACGGTGAATATTGGACCTCAGCAACCCATTCGTGAATTTCACCATCGCGTCCCCTAGATTGACGATGCAATGCCCCTGCAACGGCTTGACGTACGTCCACTCGGGCTCGCGGCCGGGCGGGGTCAGGGAGGGCGGGGGCAGGATCTGCAGGCCGCCGATGCGGTTGAAGAGGATGGTGATGCTGCCGAAATCAGTGTGTTTCCCCAAAGCGGTCTTGAGGTCCGATGGCGGCTGGGGAGGCGATTTCACGATGCGGATCTGATCGCCTGAGATTTCGGTCTGGCGGTGTAGAGAGGTGAGGGTGTGGGGCGGGAGGTGGAGGTGGGTATTCAGATGGTCGAGGATGAGGGATACGAGGGCGTGGGCATGTCGCATGTAGTCCTGGATCAGAGGGGCGTTGTCGTAGAGCAGCCGGGGGTGCGCGAACGGCGTCTTGGAAATTCCCAAAAAGTCGTCTTTGGGGATCTATACTTCCTAGGTCAGCATCATCGGATCTCTCTCCATCCTCACAGCCAGGAAGGAGAACGAACGTTGTAAAACTCGTTCCGGTCCAGATTCCCCTGCTCGTCAACAATCGCTGAGCCAAACCCCTTGTAACCCATATAGCTCCCCAGCGATTTATAATCGTATTTCTGCAGCTCTTCCCTACCCAGGTCGTATAACTGCGGGCCGAGCCCGAATAGCTTATCCGCTTCATCAAGCAGGCGTTCCCCCTCGGCATCCTGGCGCAGATCGAGGTAGAAGAAGCCGAGATCTTTGGAGGCGGAGAAGAGCCGCTCGGATTCGGTAGCGTCGCGGCGGAGTTTCGATAGTGAGAGCCGGTGTAGAGGCGCGATAGGGACATTGGATGGGAAGGGTGGCAGGTTGGGGAATTCTAGAGAATCGATTTGAGCTGGTGATGCGGTTTGGGTGATGGTTTCGGTGGCCATGGTTTGATGATTAAGAGGTAGGTCTCTTTGCTCTTGGTTATTATTCTGCATCTGTATCTTTGAGGAAATGCTGAGGTTTTGAGTAAGGTATACTGTAATAACCCCAACTTTGAAGGAAGCTACCTACCTTTTCTATCTATCCTCGGCAGATCGGCTTGCCCGAGGTCCCTATCTTTTGCGGGGAAGAAGTGGGAGAACTGAAGAAGAGACTGACTGGTCTGGTATCGTTCACAGGAAACAGGTCGTTGGGAAGAGAAGAAGAGAGAGGGTAGTTAGTTCTATAATGAACTCTAGATTTCAAATCCACTTGTGAAGTTGTCGTCGTCGAGGTCCGGCCTTATATCAGTGCTTCAGAACTACAACTTTGAAAACGGCATATGAAGTACTTGCTCTATCATGCGTTCTCAATTATGTCATGAATAGCTTACCATGAACCAAGAATCGCATACTTTAGCCAGTTCTGTCTGCGGGGTTTAGCCGCTCCCGTTTCCCCGCAATGCGGGGTTCGTGAACACTAAGGTATCCGATTGGAAAGACTTGTCACTTGACAAATATTAGGAATTGAGAAGTCGTGACGGGTTTTACTAGTGATATGGGATTCGAATGGGATTAGAACTGCCTGTGGAAGAGTAGATGGGGATGGTTGCTCAGCAATATAGGAATAATTGAAATTCGGAGGCCAAGCTGTCTGGCAGTGAGTTGAGCATCGGACTATGCCACAAGACACATTGTAGGCAAAGGTTACTATTATGAAACGGGTTTTATTGATATATAAATTAATACACAGACACTCCAAACGTTTACCAGCCCTGAGTATTCTCCATAACCCCACCATTGACCCCAATACAACACACTTGGTTTATGGCTTCGACCAGCCTCCACAACTCAAGACTCGATTGACACAGGAAACCTGGCAATAACAAGCCGGCCCGACAGCAGGACGGATGCGGCGCCTATAACACGTTTCGGACGTTTCCTGAGGCACCTCCAATTAGATTATCTATTCTTATCAAGATAGAGAGCGGAGCTGATGACTCTCATTGGAGGTGCCCCTGGAGTTGAGGTTGTTGTTTGAGTAGTAAGAGTATTGAGTGGGATAAGATTCGCACCCTTAGGACATCGTGCTATAATTCCGTTGTGTGAAATGGTATGGGAAGGAATCTGGTCCAGGAGGAGGATGTCTGATGGTAGACGACCCAGACAGTCCTTCCATCTGGGTGGTTCCCAATACCGCCGAGGCATTCTAGTACCTGAGTAGATGGGTGGTGATGGCTCCTTCACCAGAGGCTGAGAGCATCACCACCATCAGCATTATCCCCCACCCGGCCAATTCCTCCACAAATAATGATCCCCGACTTGTCCCACTCGTCTGCCGCGCCCCCTTAAATTTCTTAGAATCAGTGTCTGAATCATCGCAAGAGGGCGCGGCAAACGTCGACGCTCGGCGGAGACGTGAGGAAGCTCGGGATAAGATACTTAATGGCAATTGCGCAACCTCTAAACCAATGAAGAGGATATTGTGCGGCGTTCCTCCTCTGTGTCTGAGCCGAGATAGCCCGCCTTTTTGTTGGCTTCTGGTACTAGCTTGTTCTTGCGGCATGAAGCGTATCTGCAATGAAGCCGAATATATCTTTCAAGGTCTTGCGTCTGAAAGAGGTTTCTCCCTGGATTCCCATGTAGTCAATTGTCAATTCCTTTCCTTCATCGATCTCCTTAAGAGCCTCAATAAAAATCTCTTTGTTTGAAAACCTAGTCTGCCACTGTAGATGTTTAGAATAATTTGAGGGTCTGATTGCACTCACACCAGGGCCAGCCTAGTTTTATCGAAATGACCATTCCTGGAAAAGTAATCCTTTGAATGAGAAGTAGGAAGGGCAATGGCCCATATCTCAGCAATGGGAAATAGCTGGATTCTATTGTGTATCTTCATTCAAGGGGACGGTATTGAGGCAAGCATCCTCGTGAGCACAGGCTTTGGCTGCATATCCGCCAGCTTGAAGTTCAACCCCGAGTCCCTAGCCAAACACTAATGTGAGATCTCTTATTTTGACACACATCCATGGTTAAGAGAGGATCAATTTCTGGTCGAATCGTACTGGGTGGAGAAGGATATATGTTGTTGGTAACAGAATTGCGCGATCAGGAAGCTAAAATAGACCAGCAAAACCCGAACAAGCATCCTACTTCCACGAAACACTACTCCGGTTTGCTCAATGCTTGCTTGCTTTTTGATTAAGCGGTTATATGGTAATTGCATATGCATATATGCATCGTCTGATAGAGCAATGCAGCAAGCCATAGTATGAGATACCTAGAATCTGTTTGTCGTCCATCGGGAGCGTTCAAACCCAACAAACTCGAACACGTGATAAGTCTTCGATGTATGTCGGTGGAAAATATCGAGAGAATATCGAAAGCGATCAAGAGCTCCCCGGTGTGGAACTAAGGGGCGTTCCAATTAGGAAAGGGTGGCCAGCCGCAGTGTCGTGATAAACAAGTGTTGTGGTGAATTTCCTCACACTTAGTTCTTCTCAACCTTCCCCTCCACCATCCTCAATCAACTCTTGACAACACCTCTGGATCATCAACAAGAATACAACGACCATGGGAGCGTGATCAAAGAACATCAAGCTGAGCCTTCTCTCTATCAGGAGAGCAAATAAAGATCTGGTAAGTCCCCGTCTCTCGAGACTGCTTGCTTGGCCAGGCGTTTGATCAATCAATGCCTGCGTCATCAATATCTATCCTTCCAACTTGAACAAAGCGTTCGACAGGTCGCAATGATCCAATAGCATTCTCTCTGCCATGATCGTAAGCTTTGGGCAATTCCAGAGCTGTCTTGGCTGACGTCCGGTAGTCTGCTCTTTGACTCCTTCGGAGGTATCAAGCGCACTACAAGCGAAAGCTACGTTGGTATGCAGCCCTCAGTTCCTGTCAGACATATCCTGATTTCTCTTCTTGTTACCTGCCTGGTGGCGCGAGGGCGAAAGAAGCTACCTTCCACCTCATTTCTCGAGTGTCATTGAAAGAGCACCCTAGTTCTCTGATCAACATCAAAGCCCAGAGGATCTTCTGACACGTAACAGGGTCCAAGTCTGCCTTGTAACGCCAATCGAGCATCGAAAAGAACAATACGACTATCTCATCTTTCTTCAGAGACAATAACTGCCTTGATTAGGATTTCCTCCTACTTCCTCTGAAGTGAAAAGACGACAGTCTGAATAGTCCCTCACCTTGATCACTTGGCAGAAGCAGACCAAGGTAAGAAAGCCCTGGGCTAACGGATTGTCCGCAGTAATAGGAACAGAATTTGCTTCCACTGAAGTCGAGACTGACTGAAGTAGATCCATAGATTCCAAGATGGAATCTGCGGTCTTGAAGATCCTCGAAAACCACGTCCGCAGAGCCTGGGATAGTGGTGATCATACGGAACAATGGCACAATCTTCCCGAAGTACCAAATAAGGCAGAGATCATGCCAAAGGAGGAGTATAATTATGATCCGACAAGCGACAAAGAAGAGTGGAATGATTATCAGAAGGACCCAGTCTACGATCCCAACCTGCCGAAGAATATCATTGACGGACCTTGGTCTTCTAAAGAGGACTACATCAGTGCCCATTACCAAATTCTTCGGGAGGACGCCATAGCTCCGCTGCGGAGCTCCGTTCAATGCTTCCGAAAGAACCGCAATATGGATGATGATAAGACCACCTGCATCTATACACATGTGGGTGTGTACTAAGTCTCGGGTAGAGCATCTACTGACTCCGAAATAGGTCCATTTCAAGGGATTCAACCTTGGGCCGACTGGTCCGGCATTTAGGATCACGTTTTCGACAGAGCGAGCAGGTAAGCGAATTCGATGGGAACAATCGAAGCGCTTGCTGCCAGGTACTATGGTTGCTTTGAGCCCTGCCACAGATATGTTCAATAAGGTTTGCAAGGTCGCGATCGTCGCGGGTCGTCCAATTCTTGGAGGATTGGATCAGAATCCCCCTCAAATTGACCTGTTTTGGGGCGATCATGCGGATGCCGTATTCGATCCAGTCGAGAGTATGGTTCTTTTGACGGTTTAGACGAGAATCTGCTAACGGCTTCCTAGAATATATCATGATTGAGGCTCGTAATGGATATTTTGAGGCGTATAGGCATGTGCTTGTTGGATTGCAGAAGCTCCGAACAGAACGGTAAGTCGATTAATTCCAAGCCTCGTTCCCAGCAGCAGTTAATTATTATTGAAGCTTCTCGCTCGCAAAGCACATTGCTGGTCTCGATCCAGACGTTGGGGCACCTGCCTATCTAGAGAAGCATCCGATACTTGATCTCAGTTCGCTCGCTCCTCAAGTCGCCGATTACTCGAACAGTGCCAGCAAGGATGAGATTGATATCTTCAATGTCAATGTCCTAGAAGGATTTCCTAAGATTGCTGAATCTGGAATGGACGAATCTCAAGTCTCAGCTTGTAAACGCATGGTGACTAACAAAGTTGCAATCGTGCAAGGTCCTCCTGGAACAGGGAAGACCTTCACCTCTATCGCCGCGATCAAGGTGATGTTAAGCAATCTGCAGCCAGAAGACCCTCCTATGATCATTGCGGCTCAGACAAACCATGCATTAGATCAACTGATGAATCAACTTCTGGCCTCTGAGAAGAATGTCGTAAGACTCGGAGGCAGATGTGATAAGGAAAACGTCAACATTATCAAGCGCACTCTATACGAGTTACGCATGACCACGAAGGATGTTCCGGGTGGTGGGAAGGGCCTGAAAGACTGCAGGACTGCACTCCAACATAAGATCAACGAGATCGAGTTATTAATGTCTCCACTCCTTGCTGGGACACTTCTGACAGACGAGATTTTGATCAAGTACAGGCTTATCACAGAAGCTCAGAAGGAATCTCTGTACGAGAACGGATGGTTCGAAACAGGTGGATCTGAGAAGGTTGATGACAGCCGATCTACGTCGATCTCAACATGCAAGTGATTTCCATTCTGTCGTGAATCAACCGCTAACGCGATGATATGCAGGGCTCGGTGAAGGTGGATTGGTCCCAGTCCCCCAAACACCTCAGATTAATCTAGGGTTGCCAATTGAAGAGGCCGACCTTGAGTTTGAGCAACTCCAGGAGTTAGAGCAAGAGCTTGAAAGTGCCGAATCCCCTGAAGACAATCTCAATGGAAAAGTGCTCCCTTTTCTCCGCAGTTTCACCGGTAGGCCCTCTGCAGCCATTGATGATCGAAAGATAAAGCGGGCTCTTTCTTCGCGTGAAAGCTTGTATGACATTCCCCAGTCGTGGAGAGGGCCAATTTATCGTTACTGGGAGAAGCAAGTCAACAGAGAGTGTCTTGTAAAGCTGAGATCACTCCTTGCAGACTACAAGAGCATTGTCGAGACGACCCGGATCACGAAGGTAAGTAGAAAGTTCTGTTGAGAGACCACTTTGTTGTGATAAAGCGAGGCTGACGTGAAGTAGTGGAACTGCAACATAAAGCTCATTCGACATCTAGGCACAAAGCTGATCGGCTGCACCACGACGGGCCTTTCAAAATACCGTCCGCTTCTCGCAGCCTTGGAGCCCCGTACTCTTCTTATTGAGGAGGCCGCCGAAACTTTGGAAGGCTCCGTGATGGCTGGAATGTTCGATTCATTGGAGCATTTGATTCTCGTTGGTGACCACAAGCAGTTGCAAGCTTATTGTAACATCGGAGCCTTGGAATCCCCCCCTTATAATCTGAATGTGTCCATGTTCGAGCGCCTTATATCCAACTCTATCGGATTCACGATGCTCAACACACAACGTCGTATGATTCCTGACATTCGAAAGCTTTTGTGTATCGAGCCAGAACCTTTCTATCCTGATCTTCACGACCATCCCTCTGTCGAAGATAGGGTCGTGAACAGGGCCCCGGTCCCAGGTATGGCAGGTCGCGACACTTATTTCTTCCATCATACCTGGCCTGAGACACGTAACTCCGATTTAAGTCGGCATAACCAAGACGAGGCAGAGATGATTGCTGGTTTATTCCACCATCTCGTTCTGAATGGCATAAAGCATTCACAGATCACCGTCTTGACCGTAAAATGCCCCTAACAGTCCCAAGTTGAAGTACCTCGCTAACTCGAACATAGTTTTACAATGGCCAGCGTAAGACTATTTTGAAGGAGCTGAAGAAGCACCCAGGACTTCGTGCAAACACCTATTTCAATGTCTTCACGGTCGACAGCTACCAAGGGGAGGAAAACGACATCATTCTTCTGTCGCTGGTTCGCAGCAATGAGTTCCTTGACATCGGCTTTCTCGAAAGCAGGAATCGCTTGGTAGTCGCCATTTCAAGAGCTCGGCGTGGACTTTACATCTTTGGCAACGCCATTACTTTGACAGCTGCCGAGACAAACGGAGATGTGGTTGGCCGAGATGCTCTTTGGACTCCTCTCATTAAATTCATGAAGCATCAAGGTCGATTCGATTTGGACGGTGGTTTTCCAATTACTTGCGTTACCCATGGAACGACGCTCGAGATCAAAGAGGCAGATGAATGGCTCGGTCTTGCCGGTGGATGTCATCGAGACTGTGATGGTATCCTCCCATGCGGCCATAATTGTTCTCTCAAGTGTCATCCCTTTGACCATTCGATGGCCTTTTGCCGTGTCGCTTGCCCTCGAAAATTAGAATGTGGCCATGGCTGTAGCCACTTATGTGGCGAGACTTGTGGATGCTCCCTGTGTGAAGAGGGCAGTAAGATTATTGATGAAAGTCATGACCACCGACAGCCCATGTCTGACAGTGGAAAGCAAGCGCCACACATGCTCGCTTCCCAATGCAAATCCGAGCCAGGTGGATTCTATAACCCAATGCCTAGGCAATCAAGCCTGGGCGCTCTCGAAAAATGGAGAAATTGGGATGCGAAGAAGGGCGATTCCGAGATGGCAGAGATCCGTTTAATCGAAGCTTCCAAGAAGATGACGGCCCTCTCGGAGCTTGTCTATGAGGATACTTGGCGTCCCGTCTCCATTGAAAATGGAGTTCGTTCCCTTTCTGGGCCGGAACGAAAGATTATTCGACGATTTGACAATGATAATACGTCTCGGTCTCAAGTACCAAAGACTTCCACCATGCACAATGCCAGTGTGGGCATTACCAAGCCTCCGGAGAAGAGGAAAGTCAGCAATATTGTCTCCCGAATGACAGGTTTCGGCGTTTCAAATGTAGATCCCTTCAGCAAGCTCTCGACCCCCGGTCGGACTTCTACTCAGACGGGACATCTAATAGATCTTGAACTCGCCGACCCTTCAGAGTATGCCGCCACTCCAACCCATCTTGGTCATGAACAGACTAGGTATGGTCTTACGGTTAACCTGATGGACAAGCTCACGGCCATTCATAGCAAGTTTGGCAGCTCTCGACGAGTCACCCCTGCAGTCATCCCTCCAATCAAGGCATCTTACCTCGAGGCAGCCCAAGAGGAAGAAGATTTGATTGATCTCAGTGACTCTGGTCCTCCTATCCTTGGTTCAAGCGCACCAGATTTTGATCCTAGTGCTGTTATCGACGGCATGCTCTGGACTGATGATGACTACGACTGATGATGACTACGAGCCTACAGCTCCCTCGACCAAGCTCAATTGACATGCTGGGGTAGACCTTTCATGCTCTTTATGGTTGCTTATATTTTTCCCTTTCCAGTTTCTGTTTGTAGATTGGATGTGGAGTGTGCTTTGGCTGCATAACTTGTTTTTTGCATGGGAATTGCAAATCACCTAGATGTATATCACGCAGTCAATAAATCTTTTCTCTTTCCAGGTGGAGTAGTCCACAATATGCGTGATTGAAGTCACAAGATTAAAGATGCGTACCATAATTGAGTCCAAATCACCAATTGAATGTGCAGCTCGATGAGATAGGGCGACAAGGGTCCCTCAAGAATCAAGCGTGAGTGACTGATTCGACGCAAATGACTGGCTGATAGGATATAGTGTCGGCCGCAGAGATTTCTTCGCAAAGGCTCGCTGTACCTCATATGTTGAAAGTGATGGTCTCGGCCCTACCACTCCGCCGTGGACGAACCTGCGGAGGGATCATGACAGAGTTATTGCCATCGCGGGTAGATCATCCCCCCTTTGATCTTCAAAAAGGACCCGACTATACGAACTTTTATGCTTTAGCCATAGGAGTATATCAATCTCCTCCTCGAGATCAGTCGATCTGTGGAAGTCCATGGCCAGTATGGATTTCTTCTGGGCCGGTGCCGGTTTATGAACAAGCTTTCCAACCGATAGCTTTGCATGAATTCCAGGTCGACAGAGCTTTTTGTTAGCTTCTTTATGTCCCTCGGATCTACAAGAAGCTGTGTTTTCTTGGGTTCGTGTCTCAAGAGGTATATACCTAGAGCGAGTCGGGCATCGGTGCGCCTAGGAAAGAAAGAAACGGTTTGACACTAGCATCTGGCTGTCTTGAGGGTAGTCTCTATGCCCTCTAGAGCCTCACAGAACTATCAGAGTCTTAGTAATAATCATGCCTGGAGCAAGACAAGTTTCCATGTCAAGACGGCAAGATGGACGACGGTAAGATGGACATCGCCTCTGGACTGAAGCTTGAAGGAATCTGGGGATTGTGAAGCTTGAAGGAATCTGGGTATTTTGGAGTACAGCATTGTAGGATGTAAGGAAGTGGAGTGAACTTACTTCTAAGCCCTCTTGACTGACTGCCAGCAGAGCTAACTGTGTTAGAATGTTGCCCGGGCGTTCGTGGATACGGGTATGCTCCATCCTCCTGTGTTTGTGTTTCTTGATGCGGTTAGATGCTGCCAGATACATTGTTCAAGGCAGGAGATGCCAGTGTGTGTGTGTTGAGACACTGCTTGTAGTTGCTGAGCGGTAGATCGATGTCCAAAGCCAGTGGCATTTGTTGTTCAAGACGCGGTTCGCCATCGTGGTGGTATACAGGTATATTAGGAAACAAGAGTGAATTGTTCAGCTTCTTTGTTATAGTTGACAGGCAGTCAGCATCAAGAGTCAAGTGTCCTAGATGTGTCGAAGGAGGGGAGTGGGAGGACGTCTTGGAGACTTACCTATTGCTCTTTCCGTCACTAGACGCGTCCACTTTTGTCAGCCAAAGCACTGGCTACAGGATCGACGATAGGTCTTCTTTGCTCTCAATAACAACAAGGGCTTGAATGATGGTGTTATCGCGCTGTGACTATAGAAATGGCGGTGGTGTTGGTATTGTTGAGTAGAGATGGGGGTGAAACAGAATTGTAGGTTGGAGGATTCTCGCCAGCGCGCTCAAGGCTAGCAGCTGGCTGGCTACAATTCCAGAACTGAGGCTGCCTCCCTGCTGTCTCCTGTCAGTGCACTACCAGACTAATATCAGTTTCGTTTAGAAAGCAGCTGGTGGAAAATGAGAAGTTGAGATTCACTAGGACTCTCGCATCAAGGTAGCACAGCAAACAGTGCGAGTACTAGTAAGCCGTCCTCTACATTTCCCACTCCGCGTCATATTAAATAACAACTGCAGAACACCCTCTCCTCCTTCAGACATTAAGCAAATTTCCAGATTCCTCTGCGCTTCGCAACCCTCTGAGAGGTCCAACGTCGAGACGATACTCTTATTCCCAATTAAGGACTTGCTTCGAAACATTCAAGATGAACTTGAGTGCTACTTCAACTGTATCAATGCCACCTCCTTTAACTCCCCAGTTGTACGCAGAGTAGGACTCTCTATGCCAAGCATTCCCAGAGCTTCAGTGACTGACAGAAAGCAGATATCTGAGCGGCAAGCGAATCACGATCGTGGTGGGACCGGTGTTCAAGGGCTTCGAACTGAGAACGGCTGGGGCATTGGAGCGTGCAATGGCTAAGGGATTCGAGCTCGCAACGGTCAAGGGATTCGAGCTCTCGGAGTCCATGCTCGCACATGCCTCACCATACTTTGCGAGTGCGTTCAAGGATGGTAGACTAACCTACGAGCATGCTTTCCTTGGCATTCGCGCTGTAGTACTCCACAATGTTACAATCCGCTCTTTTGAATTGGCCATATCGTACATCTTCTCGTTTGAGAAGCGCTTCTTCAAGTTCGGCGTGATCGGCTTCGGGGACGAGGGAGATTTTATCAGCGCGATGATAGAACTGAGCAGTCTCAACGAGACACTCCTCATCCCAGGTCTGGACGAGGTTACGCGCAGCAGCTTGTCCTCGGTCCTGGCCAACAGCGACGCTCTTGGGAATGAGCACATCAGGAGAGCTTTCGAGCTTCTAGAGCCAAAGTCGGGAACACGAGATGCGATTGTTCGAAAAGCCTTCGCACACTTTCAGAGCAGAGACTGGGAGCTAGAGAGCCGAAACATCTACGACGACTGGAAGTTCGGAGAGGCGCTTGAAAATGTGCCGGGCTTTGCTGGGGCCTTCTTCATCTTGTTGAAGGAATCGTACATGTCCTGAGGTGGCTAATTGAAGGAGAACGGATTGCAGAGCGCATTACAGAAGGGAGGGAGCACTACGACGTTCAACTTGAACTGTGACCTTGAGCAAAGGGTATCGAGATTTGCTCATGGTAGCAAGAAGCAGTCTCCAACTCGAGATTGAGAATTGAGAATTGAAAAATTACAATAATGAATCGAGAATACTACCACGCAGTGACCAGATGCGAACTCCTCTTGTCTTTCCTCCCCTCGAAATTATAATTGACTCCGGTCTCTGTTTCCCCACAAGCCGACATCATCTCCCCACTCGCTCTCGCAGTCGACCCCAGAAAGATATCCACACGTCAGCATTCGCCGAGTGTGATCGTTCGGCACGTAAGCGACGCCTCCCGCGCTATTGAAGGGTGGAAGCAATGAATGCACTTGCCCGGTGCTGGGTGCTCAAGTCAAAAGGTAGTTGCGAGTCATCCATGAAGAAGAGAGAATGGAAGAAAAGCTGCAAACTGTTTGGTGATTAGATAAGGTACCTAATGCTGTTGATGAGGGTAAGCAAAGCAGAGCGTGAGGAAGTGCAGAAGGCGCTCGGATTGATCTGCCAATTGCATGAACCACGGAGATATATTCGCTGCGCATAAGCCGGGGACCGAACTGCGCCGATTTGGATATATGCTCAATATTATGGAGTATGTACCGTGCACAGAACTCTGTTTCCGTATTGTGGACCGTATGTATCAGAATTACTGTGAATCGTGATCGAGATTCCAACGTCGGCGAACGGACAATTGGACATTTCCGGGAAGAAAGAAAAAGAAGCGCATAGCAGCGCTGGCAACACGCGCTCAACCACACTTCACGATGGCAGACGGGCTTCGCGGATCTGCAGGCAGCCTGATGGAGGCAATAGAGCGGTAATATAGCGATGGTTCGTTGCCCTTGGAGGATTGGAGGATTGGAGGATCGGAGAAGTGAAATCGGTCGAAGCTGGCTCCCTGTGCCTCTGAACGTGATAGGGTTACATCGCCCGCGGCCGATGCGAATGCCAAGGGCAAAAGTCTGCAAAAGCTCTCGACTCCAGCGAATCCGGACAGAGGCTAAGAAGCACCTGGGCTACGCTCAGTAGTCGGCCGTCCAGCGCGATCCAGTGAGATCCTGCGCGAGGCCCTGGAGCTTCAGGGGAACGTCTTCCGGAGTTCCTGCGCTCCACCAAGCAAATCGATATCCCCACTGCAGCCCCGACACGGCCGGCCAGCCACGAGTCTTCAATCCAGCCATGGGGCCATCGTCCAGCTGCAAACCCGCCCTTGCTGCTCCGTCATTTTCATCTCTCTGCCAGACTGTCAGTGTCGGCACTCAGGCCTGTTGGAACGTGGACGAAGGACTGCTTCTCTCGACTCCTTGCTGCTCAACTCCGCACTTGCAACCTCCCAGCCCGATGTCTGGTTAACGAAGCTGCTGTTGTGCACGGGCAGTGAGTACACGGCATCGCAGCGAACAGTACAGAGCTGTTCCTACACACCCCGAGACGTGTTCTGAATACAATACAATAATCCTAATACCATCCGATCTGATACCCATAAGGATTCGTTCTCGATCGTGCAGCGACGACCCGCAGCCATGCGGAACCTTCCCAACGACTCTGCCATCTCGGTGGCTACGGCTGCTGCCGCCGCCTCTTCATCAGCGTATCCCTCGAGCATTACACCTCCACCCGGAGAGAGGCGGGCGTCGGACGACAGGACGAAATCGAAATCCAACTCTCCACAAGCAACACAATTCACGCCTTATCACGAGCTGAGCCCCGAAGAACAAGCCGCGCAGGACCTCGAGAACGAGGCGGCTGTCGCCCAAGCGCAGGCTTCCATCGATATCGATTCCGGGTCAGATGTTGCTTCAGTCTCCGACGCCGGGTACGAGACGGATTCCCTGCGGTCGGCGGCCTCAACGTCCTTATCTTCGAGCGTGCGGGATTTTGCTTTTGAGAATGGGAGGAGATACCACAAGTTCCGGGAAGGAGCGTATAATTTTCCGAACGATGATAGTGAACAGGAGAGAGAGGACATGAAGCATGCGATGATGGTGAACCTGTGCCAGAAGTTGCACTTTGCACCAATAGGGGACAATCCGGGGAATATTTTAGATATAGGGACGGGGACGGGGATTTGGGCTATCGAGAGTGAGTCTTCCATTCTCCTCCCACATAGGTGAAGAGGGAGAGTAGACAGGGCGAAATGCTGATGCGGAACTACAGTGGGAGATTTATATCCAAGCGCCAACGTCCTGGGTATAGATTTAAGTCCCATACAACCAGAATGGGTGCCCCCAAATGTCAAGTTCATGGTCGATGATGTGGAATCTCCTTGGTTACGGCCCCCGAATCATTTTGACTACATTCATGGACGACACACGGTGATGGCTATCAGAGACTGGCCGAAGCTGATGCGGCAAGTTTTAACGTACGTCCTCCGATTTCTCCCCCATCAATCTATCTCTCTGTCCTCCCAGAATTGGACAAGAAGCTAACGAGTGGGCATGATAGTCACCTGAAACCTGGCGGCTGGTTCGAGCTACAAGAAATCCATCACTTCCCTCAATGCCATGACGGCAGCATGCCCCCGAACCACCCCGTCGCCGAATACTGGTCACTGATCGACCAAGGTTTGGCCGCAGTCGGCATAAATTTCAAAGCGGTGCTGGAAATGGCGGACATGATGCGGGAAGCAGGCTTCGTGAACGTCACAACGCGCATCTTCCACGTGCCCATCGGTGTCTGGCCGAAGAATAAGGTGTTGAAGATGGTGGGCATGTACTGGCGGGAGATTCTGCTCATGGGAGCGGAACCCATCGCGCTCGGTCCACTGACGAGAGGGCTGAAGTGGTCTCGAGAGGAGGTCGAGGTCCATCTCGTGGCGGTGAGAAAGGCGTATATGGATGCTTGGGTCCATAGCCACATGCCATTACACATTATCTGTGCGCAGAAACCGGAGTAGACCTATACCGCTTACTCACGGTACCGAGGGTTTTGTAAAGAAAAAGGAGGCGGCGAACTGAGAATTGATGAATAGGCATAGCTGGCGTACTGTTGTGGCTGTTGCCATGTGGCATTATCTACACATGGATGGCGGGCTTGATTTGCATTGAGCGGGCGGCTCCTCTTCGTTTTTTTGTTGGCATGTGAAGATCTTTGACGATGAGAGTTTTTTCCATATATATATACGTATATATATTTATATTATAACAGTACTAGACGGCGTAATGGAGATTTGACAGACACGTCAAGAATAGAGAGGAGTACCTAGTTTGAATCAATGTCTTGTACCTTACCTTACGCTATTCACTTCGATCGTATCACGTTCTTCACATTGGTCGGAGTATCTCCCTACAAAGGTAGGTACTTCTGGATATATATCTGTTTCTGACCACGGAGGCCCCCTCCCTTCCAACCAGATCTTACGATGGCGTCGACGAGTGGAAGCATTTCCGCATGAGCGAGCGAGCCTTCTCTTGTTCCGGGCTGTCCCCACTGCTTCAACGGTCGCCACTAGCGCCACATTATGCTTACATACTACTAAGTATCATCCCATTCTCATTACGGAGTATTGAGAATAATGCAGAGGTGAGATGAGGTGAGGTGCCGAGGCCCCTGGGAGGTCGAAAGGTCTTTGAAGAAAGTTGGGAAGGCGTCCCCTCCCCTGCGCGCCCGTTAAGCACCCTCTTCCCTGGGTCCAAGACCCGACGATTCTGAATCCCACGGAAACTTCCCATGAAGAAGATTGCCAATGTTGCAATGGAGAAAGAAAGGAGGGGGAAGGGGGAAAGAAGAAAGGAGCGGCCCGTTTCTGCGGGCCGCGGGAATTGGGTTTGGCAGGTTGGTTAGGTAGTAAGTAGTTGGAGACGGATGGAGGAGGATGCTGGGTTTATCGAGCCAGAACGGGAGATGATAAGGGGGGCCCCTTGGATGGAATCAGCCCGGCAAACGGGGAACAACGGTGGAACGGGAAACCTTCTTCATGGCTTCAACCCTATCAAGCCCGTCCCTGCTCCCCACGCGTCTCTCCTCGAGTCCTCGCCCCAGGCACCCGGAGCATCCCGCTTCTGCAACGGGTCGACTTGCGCTTTGCAGAACCCCCTCCCTCGTGGTCCCTTCCCTATCACTGGTCAATCGCAGGAATTATATGGGGATCTCCCGACCCAGACCCAGCTTACCACACCAAAGAGAAATAGCACGGAACTAAAAGGCGTATGGTTACATCGACCGGTGCAAGGACAAGGGGCGCACTGGCGGCGGTCGTATCCGCTGAAGAAAAGGGGAGGCTGGCCAATCAGCGGCGCGGGACAGCGTCTCCCTTGAACGTTATATAGCATTTGGTAAGCCGCATCGATATGCCATCATGCCAGACTGGGCGCAGGTCGTGGATTCTGGCGGGGTTTGATCAGACGATTTGGGAAATGGATATTGTGAGGTGTTTGGTAAATCGACTGTGAGATGAGATCTGCTCTGGTGTTTTTGTTCTCGCCGTTGTCGATTCGCTTGAATTGGCCAATCAGGACGCGGCAGACAGGGGCTCTACATCACGTGTTCCCCTGGGACCGCAGCAGCCGCACGAAAAGAAAGATTCTGGTTTGTCGAGACGAAAAGAGTTCCCGTCTCTCCTATGAATCCATGATCCTATCATACAACAGCAGTCTGCACATCTACCAGGTTGATCGCCCGCTCCACAGACCGAAGAGCAACCCGGTCTATAGTTTCCAATGGAACTACTCCTCCTCGGCATCTGGTCCGTCTCTGCTCGTCCGCCCCTTGCAGTAATGATTCGCCTTCCCAAGCAACACCACAGGTTGATGCTGGGAACGGTGCATGGCATGGCACTGCACCCAAGACTCTACAGTCAGTACAGTACTGCTATGTCCCGCTCGACACTGCCCGTCTACACCTTCTCCTTCTCCTCCTCCTTCCCCCTCTCCTGAGTCTCCTCCGCCATTAAACCTACTTGGCGCCCTTGACGCGGAGATTCACTTCAACTTATTATCATAATCAATTCGGGGTCTACGCTAGGACTCAATCAGACCCCCCGGCGCATTCCAAATCATCAGTGCGTCCTTCCCTCCGTCCCTAGCGTCCGGCGCAGCAAAGCACCAGATTATTTGCTATCTCGCTCTCCTCCGCGCATTCGACTATTTGACGGTTTGTCTCCTCGTTCTAGCTACTCTCTCATCGCATTTTTCAGTCATATCTTTCTCTCCGCCGAGCCTTCTGCAGCGAGCAGCGTGCCGACGAATAATATCTCCAGGAGTCCGGGCCACGGGTAGCTGCCACAGACCCCAGCATTTCACGAATCCGAAGCGATAGTGTGGAGATAAACTGACAGGGTGGGGCCTCGTGGCACGAGAGGGAGCAGAAGTAAAAGAATCCCGAGTCCCTGGCACTGGGACTCTGCACGCACTCAGCATTCCTTCGTCTTTCGTTGTTCTCCTCCATCACCCTGCTTTTACGTCTGTTGGGTCCGGGAATTCGCTCGATCTGTCAGCGAACCTGAGCAGTTTGTGTGCTGCGCGCTAGTGGGGCTACCTCGTATACTGAGTTCTGGATATGGATAAGGTACGCCAGGCAAAGAAGAGACTGAGTGTTGGATCGTGGGGTCCCTTTGCAAGCAAGGACGACAAGAGGTCGAGTCGCAGACTCAGCGGGATGAGCGGGAAGGATGGAGAGACCCTGGGTGGAAGCACCAGTGATGTTCCCAGCACCATCCCCGAGAACAATGGCACCAAGGAAGCCGAGAACGGTCAGACTCAGACTGTGAAGTCGACGACGAGCCTGGTCGAGTTGGCAAAGACCATCGCGAGAGAGACGGAGAAGCTGGAGAAGTATTACAAGGACATCGGGCACCCCTTGCCCGGCTGGGAAGTTGACTCGTCTGTCGATCTCCCAAAATTCCCTGATGATATCAAGAAGGCCAGAGAGGAGGTTGTGAAGGCAACCAAAGAACTCGAGTACTTGGTCACCGGGCCTACAGAAAGCTTGAGATGGATGGCTTGGGACGTGAGTCTTCTGTATCCAAGGATAAACTGATGAGACTGACCGACTACAGCACAACAACTCCCTCTCTCTGCACACCGTCTACCATTACCAGATCGGTATTTTCCCCTTTCCAAGATCCCTCGTTCCAGCTAACAGAGTCAGCAAAATCCTTCCCTGTCGGCGAGACTGCCACCTATACCCAGATCTCTGAGAAGGTCGGCTTAGACGAGCTCAACCTTCGTCGTCTCCTGCGCCATGCCATGACAAACCGCATCTTCAAGGAGGTGTCACCGGGTGTCGTGGCCCATACTGCCGCAAGCAAGTTACTGGCTGAGAACCAGGCAATGGATGACTGGGTTGGTTTCTGTACTGAGGATCTGTGGCCTGTGAGTATATTCTCATCCTTTCTGATTTACGGCAAGGGACGGTGCTATGAACAAATTGCGACACCTCGATTGGCAAGGCCATGAGGACTCGAAAAGCACCATCGAACTATTCCTGTTTTGAAAGTCCCACCTCATGCATTCCCCTACTGACATCTCCAGGCCGCGGCCCGAACCATCGCCGCTATCGAGCTCAACCCCTCCGCCAACGAGCCCACTCAAACCGGTTTCTGCTACGCTAACAACACTACCGATGTCGAGCCCATGTTCGTCACCTTCGGAAAGGACCCGAAGCGCGCAAAGCGCATGGGCGGAGCCATGACCTCCCTCACCGGCGGCGAAGGCTACGAAGTCTCCTACCTCGTCAACAGCTACGACTGGGCATCCCTCGATGCTCGCGGCGCCACTCTGGTGGACATTGGTGGTTCTCATGGCTTCGTCTCGACCGAGATCGCCGCGAAATACCCCAACATGAAATTCATCGTCCAGGACCTCCCCAAGACCGTTGCCACGGCCCCCGAACTGCCTGCCGACCTCGCCTCCCGCGTCTCCTTCCAACCCTATGACTTCTTCACGCCCCAGCCTGTCAAAGGCGCCGACGTCTACCTCTACCGCTGGATCGTGCACAACCAAGCCGATAAGTACGCGATCAAGATGCTGCAGCAGCTCATCCCGGCGCTGAAGAAAGGCGCCCGCGTTCTGATCAACGACCACTGTCTCCGCCGCCCTGGCGTCGAGAACATGTGGGATGAGAAGATCATGCGGACCATGGATCTCGTGATGCTCACGCTCCTCAACGCGCAAGAGCGCACAGAAGAGGATTTCCGCGAGCTGTTCGCCAAGGTCGACCCCCGGTTCCGCTTCTTGGGTGAGAAGAGACCTGAAGGCTGCAGAATGGCGATTTTGGAGGCGGTGTGGGAGGGCGAGGATTTTGGGGGCGAGGCTTAGATTGATTTGATTTGATTTGATTAACGCTATATACTTGTTGATGAGAGGAGAATCGGATATATAGATGGATAGTTAATCTAGTCAACGACAGTATAGTGGAAGGAAAGTCGGAAAGATTTTGGAAAGAGAAGAGAGAGAAGGAAGGAAAGAAGGAAGGAAGGATGGAAGAAGATCAATTTGTTCTCAGGCGCTTGCCTTAATAGCTGTACGTACCATGTGGTGTACATACATATACCTTACGTATTTAGAAGTATATATACTCATGAGCTCTCTTCTCTCTCTCTTGCGTTTGCTTGATTTGATACTTCTTGGTTGTAGGTAGGTTTGCGGGTATGTCTGTGTAACTAACTGCTTTTGCATATTTAATAAATCAATATATGTGTATCTTAAGATAGGATAGATAGTAGGATAGATAGTGTTATTCTTTCTTTCTTTCTTTCTTTCTTTCCTTCTTTCCTCGCCCTTCCCTCTCTCTCTGATCATCCATCCCCAAGAGGAGATATATCTCCCTCCTAGGTACGTACTATGCCAGTAAAAGTAAAACGTTGGGTGATTTCTTTATATTTATTTATATATATTTGTGTCATTAGTTCTAAGGGTCGGTCATGTAAGTGTGAGGTTTGGGACCCCCCTTTTTCCCCCACCTGCTTCACAGCCCTTAAAAAAAAAAGTGGGGGGGGGGGGAATGCTTCTCCTCTAAATATTTAATCTGCTAATATAACGAAATAGAATAGAATAGAACACTATCAGGGACAAGGCTGGGCTAGAGAGAAAAATGAATGTGGGACTGACAGTCTGGTTTATTTATATTCATGTTTCTTTTTTTTTGAGGGCTTTTCGTTAGGTATATGTATAGGTATATAAACATCCATATCTCATATCTCAAGTAGGTAGGTATCTCAAATCGCACATAACAGATGAATCATAGAATATATCGAAACCCGCGATTATCAATCTCTGTCATATCTAACATTCCGTTCTCGATCGCTTCGCGGTCCTCTTCGCGGTCGGGGTCGGCTTCGCCTCCCGCCGCCGCCGCGTCGCGTGCCACGTTCGATCGATACATATAGATGTAGAGGAGGAGGACCATGGCGAGCTTGACGGAGTAGCCGACTAGCATTGCGATGTAGGCGCTGTGATAGTGGGCTTTTGGGGGTTAGCTTTGTGTTTTTCTGTTTTGGCTTTTGTATAAGGTA